TGAGTTCATTTGATTTGGATTGAATTTACAGCTTGATTGGGTTATGTGCCACATAGCCAAGTCCCATCAACAAGGTGCTAGCCAGTTGATACAACGCCTTGCAGGGGAATGTTTGGGAGTGCTCAGGGAGAGACGGCCAGGCTCAATATACAGGAGGTTTTCCAGAGGGATGCAACTGAACAATTTTGTGATTAAGGTTCAGTTCTTCTGATGATCCTGCCACCAGTTGCTTAAACCCGATACATAGCTTTCCCCGTGGACACATCCCTTGAGAGATGGCAGAATTTGGTGCGATCCCAACTCCTTTCATCGTAGGGCATCAAGGGAATCCAGCGAGCTAGAGAAAATCTCCGCGGAATCGTGAAAGACACCGGCGGTGTCTCCTCCAGTTTTGAAAGTGGTTTAGTATGTTTTCTTTTTTATTGGTGGGATGGGGTCTTTTCTGGAATCAACCCTCCAAAATGGCGCACGGCGATCCTTTTGGTTTCCCTTGAAAGCCATCCAAAAAGGGTACCCTGAAAAAGAGACACACCCAAATATCTTCATGTAGGGTAGTATATATCTAAACACGAAAGTCATATACTTATAGTGCAACTCAGAGTTGGGCCAAGATTCCACGGAGGTTGTCCTCTATCAATGATACTATGCAGTGCATTTTTGTTCTGTGTATACATGCAACAAGATTGATGCATTAGCACCATGTTGCTCTTTTATTGAACATGTATCGGTTTGCCCGTGTTTCCTGTCGCCACTAGCAAAGGCGTTGGCCTCAAACTTGAAAAGGCCATGGTCTCGACTATGTTCTTGACAGAAAGCGGCAGGCAAAGAGCTAATAATGTTGATTGTAAGGGGGAGCACTCATATTTCTTTGGCGAGAGAGTACCAGCACGTCGCCAGCTTGCTCGCTGCGTCGAAGGCCCTGTGCGAAGATTGCGACGGCATCGCCTAATTCGGGGGCACCTTGGGCAGGGATGCGTTGCCGAAACGAATCCGATCGCATCCTAGCGGCACTGGCACTTTGTCCGGGTGTCCGGTAAAAACTCTTCAAGGGCCTGTTTTTCCGCCTTTGGCCCAGTAGGTAGAAAAACAGAAGGTATGAGGATCCACGTTTCGGCAACGAAGCCCTGAGTGCCTTCGAGTCAGTAGGTCTGTTTCCGGAGGCACTTTGCGCTGATCCGCAGAGACTGAGCCCTCTGGTCTTGCCGACTTCCCGATCTTTTTGCGGTTCCTTTTTCCGGATGAATTTGGCGGAGTCGTTCAAACATGAGACGCAGAACAGTTCGCCTGAAGGCACGAGTTTGGGGAAAGGCACGTGGGAGGCCCGAAAATTTTATCAGAAATTGGGGTTGCACTTTCTCGGCCGGAAAGGGCCAGTTCGAAAGTCTGAAGGGTATGGCAAAAGCTCCATGGGGATGTGGCTCTCTTCTAAAGGGACCGTCATATTTGCCCATGTGAGCAGTGCCCAAACTCCCTGGCCAACTTGAAGGTTTCTTCTTAGAGTCGAACCAAACGTGTTTGGGTTGCGGACGCTGGTCAGGTAAGACAATATACATGAAGGTGCAGCGTTTGGCATTGTGTTTGGCCAGGCTGGGCCTGGCTGGGGTAAGGTCATGAACTTTTTCGAAGCTAGGGCGAGAGCTTCGGCGAGTTAGAATCAGAACCTGGGAGAATAAAGGGCCAAGCCACGGGAAAAACATGAGACGCGCTTTTTGCCGCACCCTTTATTTACCCAGGTTTCGATTGTCGCTCCTGTCGGCTTGTATACACAACGTGCCACAGACCTGATTTGAATGCTGCGAAATGCGCGGTGCGAATTCTCAGGGTGTCCGTGGACATTCGGAAGCATGGTTTCCATAGGGCTTCGGTCTTCACACCAGAGATCTGGCCCTGTTCGGCCGTGAGTGGTTGGATTCCTCTCCAGAAAGTCTTTGTTGACTGGTGGGTTCATGGGTCCAAACCGGAATTTTCAGCCGCGGCTCCTTGAAATTAACTATTTGTCACGCTTTCAGCCTGGGTTTGAGTCAGGGGGTGCGTGGTTTGGATGGGGTTGGACACGACCCTTCCACAAATCAGGCAGCCTACTAACGTTAACCCCGGATTAATAAACCCCTGGTTGATTTTGATTGGGGGGTGTCCAATTCCTTTTAGTGGTTGGACAATACTTTTGGAGGGAACACCCCCTCAAAAATGGGACGGGTTCTACTTAGATCCTGGGTCAACATTAAACCCAAACCTAGGCCCTTGAGTCGGAGCTCGCAGTCGGAGCCCAATGCGCGAGGTTTGGGGCCAGCCGTGCCAAGCACTGCAGTGGGGCCCCTGGGAGGCTGGACACGAGCGAACCGTTTTGCCAGGGAAGCATGGGGCACAAGCGCCAGGGGAACATGGAGGAAAAGCGGTTTCAGGCAGCCCCCCCAACCAGCCTTTTGGACACTTGGGATTTTGGGCATGGGAAAATGCAGTTGTTAGGGGGTGCTGGTTGAGACGTATTCTTGGGGCAGGCTGAGTGTGTTCCGTTTTGTTGTGGTTTAAGGGTGAGAATCTGAGTCTCCTTTTTCTTGCATGGGTTTAAAAAGGGTTATTTTAACCCCCTGCCCTAGCAACCAGAACCAAAAGGAACCCCACTAGATCTAGGGTCCCGCTTTTTTGAAGCGCCCAATTTGTGTTGGTTTCTGGATTCAAGATGGTGTTTGCTATGGCTCGCTGTTTGTGGATCCTGCATGCAGGCTTTATCGGTGGTTTATTACATAAAGGGTTTTTCTGGGCGATTTCGGCCCATCACAGGACTCGGCTTGTTACCCATTGCCCAAGGGTACTGAGTGCTAAGACGCTAGTAACAAGTGTTTTTCCCCCCCCACAAGGGCACAAGGAGGCAGTTATCTGGTTTTTCCAGACCCCCTGTTTGACACCCGGAGTGGGGTTAGGATTGGTTTTGGAGCGTTGCCCCAAACCACCAAAAAATAGTTCCACAACTTACATAACCACGCCCTAAAGCAACCCCAAAGCCACCTAGCGCACATCGGCTCCAAGCAAATCCCAAACCCACCAAAGTACGCCTCATCCCCGCCCAACAGCAGCTTGGATGTCAGCCCTTTGCTGAGCCTGAATGAACCCGAAACCTACCCAACCCATGAAAGCAGCCCAGCTCCCAACTGCCACCCAATCAAAGCCAACAGGCGGCCCTAGGCCTGATGCTGGGATGCGAAAACCAATGCTAGGAAACTAAACGGCCCACACACCGTGTCACTGCGGCCTGCAGACTCTACAGACAATCCCACGCAACCTCCTTTTCCCATAGCCAGATGACCCGGGTGTTTCTTCGACATGTCAATAAAAGAAAAAGTACACCAAACAATATTTTATGCAACTTGTTCTTTGTATAGGAACAACTTGTAGCAATGGACCCTTTTATGTTATTTGTGTGGATATGCAGTCATGGTACGCCCACCATGGGGCTATTGACATCCAGGCCAAAGGGTGGGGTCCTGTTTTTGCTCTCGGCGGACAGGTGGGTATGGCGGCGCACACCTTGGAGAGGCAGAAGGCGGGGGCCACGGATATTTTGGGGTGGTTCTAGAGGGAAGCAAAGGAAATCCACCAATTTTGAGGATCCTATTTTGAGACATGCGTCGGGTTGGTTGATGCTTGGTGCAGCTTGCAAATGTGACGCCACACAGCCGTTTCTGGACATCAATCTTTTGGGAAGATCGTTTGGTGGTAAGCGTAAAGTCTAGGTGTTCCAAGTTGCTCGTAAACTAGTAAGTTTGAATGACCCCTGACCCCCTCAAGTTGGTTTCAAACTTACTCTGCAAACAAACAGCAACTTCCAATCCCACAAACCATCCAAGCGGTGTGTGCAGAGATATCCCTTTCAGGGGCGGCCTTGTGGGGTTCCGTGAAGCAACTTGAAGAGTATGAACTTTAATGAGCCCCAGGAACATACTGTCCACACAAGGTCCCCGAGTAACTGCCCAAGTCTTGCTTGTGTAGCTTCAGCCAAGGTTTGACACTTGAATCTTGCATCACTTGATGGCGGTCCCACATCAGTTCCGCAGATGGACTGGTGTGGTTTTTTGGGGCCCAAAAAGGAAACCGTTACCGCTGTCTTCAGTGATCAATGTGTTTATCGCCAGAGTCAGCACATGTCAAGTAAGGATTCAACTAGGCTAACCATATCTGTTCGGGGAACTGGGAGCCACCTCTCGTGAATTTGCCGTATGGGTTTGTTCTCAAGTACTTGGTTTCCTAAAGGTGTCGTTTTGCTTGCAGTTTCCCTACAGGAATTTGATTTGCGCAGGAATAAGTTAAGACAGCTGGTTGTGGGATTGAAAGCACAATTTCTTGGACGGTAATTGAGGCACAGGTATCTTGCAAATCCCAGGCTTCTGAATTCAGGCTCATGTGTTTTTCGCCGAAGTAGGTGCCTTCTGACCTCGGATCGCGCATCTATAAGCCCGGCAAAGCAAACGCTCAATCTGAACCCGAAGCGCACGGTTGGTCTACGGGACGCCTCAAAAAGCACCCGCCCAAAGGGACACTGGCGGCCAAACAGCCGGACTTCCGGCGCGCGGATTGAGTCTGATTGTCCCAGATAACTCCATATGCACAACTTGTCCGACCCTATGGAGCTACACATTTTATGACTAGCCGGTCTTCCCATTTGGTCTCAAGTCCCCCAACCACCAATTAGCACCAAATGCCAAAATGAGACACCAATTTGAAGATTGGCCACTCGCGGCCACGGCGCACGTTCAGGCGGACAGCAAAGCTGGTCCTCCGTAAAGAAGGAACCCAAACCGGGAGGTTGACGCATAGGTCTAGGGGTACCTTCCCATTCTTTCCAGGGATCCGGATCTTTCCAGAAAACCTCCAAAAATCCAGGGAAAAACGGAAATCTGGTTTTTGGAAAGAACGGTGGTTGAAAAGAATGGACAAGGACTCAACCCCCAGAATAGGGCTGGAATCGCCCAAGAGGCACCCATCGCCTTGATGCCTTCGAGGCGATGGGCTGGCGGCCTTTGCCCGTGCAGCAAGGGCTGGAGATGCCGAGTCCTCGAGAGAGACGACTTGGAGATGTGATACGTGGCTGTGGGTCAAAACCCATGGGATCCCATTTTGGGGTAGGTGAATTCACCACCCATTTTAGAACCTATTTTAGTGGTTGGATTGGTTGATGTTCACTGGGGGTACGATTTGGATTTTGACTCATGCCCATGTTCGTGGGAGGAAGGGTATATCAAAATGAGGCGATCATGGGGCATCCAACAATAAACATGGAACCTGACCTTGGGGGTCCTAGTTTGGACCATGTTCCTTGTAAAGGGACCGGGTCCCGAACGTCAGGTTCTACCTTTTTATTGGTGGGAGGGAAACTACAGGTAGGGACCCGAGACAACTGACCGGGCCTGGGCCCGTCCAAGGCAATCCGACTCAGCTTTCCCTTGCCAAATGATTTGGAAGATGGACAAACAAGTCCACGGACAAACCAGTATTCACAGGGTTTCGCTCAGCAGTTCTGCATTCAAAAGCTTGTCGAATGTCTTTGTGTCGCTGACTTGTCCATTGTTGTAAATGATTTGCGCAGCAGAGGATTGTCGCCTTTGCCAAGAACTTGGACATTGGCTGGAAACACCAGCGTCGGACGCTGATTTTCATACTACCGGCAGCGATCAGTCTCTTCCGGACGAGCTGCTTGACTTCACGATGGCCCCTGCGCGATGCCATTCCTGCGCCGCCGTACTTCGTTCCGTTTCTTCGACGCCGACACTGAGACTTTAGGTCCCTGCAGCCGCCGTGGGCTTCCTTCCGGCCGGCCGCAAAGGAATCTGATGTCCGCCGTCTTGTTTACAGTGGACACTTCTGGAGCTTTGGTCAACGCACAGCGGCAGTTGTTGAATGCCGAGATGAACCGATTACCGCTCACTTGTTGTGCCTGTTTGGGTCTCATGACCAGGTAGGTAGCACATAATATGAATAATATGGATGTGTGTGTGTTGGTGCGCGCGCGTTTGTTTTGAGGGAAGGCAATGTTAAAGAAAGCCAGTATGTTGGGAGGCTCGGTATTTTACGACACCCATTTTCAGGTCGGCTGGTTTTGAAGGTTGGTTGGCATATATACCGCTGCGCCCGCAGTTTGCCCAAGTGACAAACAAATTCAAGGCCCATGCATGGGAGCCCCTGGAAGGGGATGTTCACTTGGCGAGCACGTGTGCAAGCTGGTCGTGGCAGCTCGTAACTGCACTTGCCCCCACGGTTTTGACGCAACTTTCTTTTATGGTGAAGCGGCACACTGTTCAAACAGCGTGAGTAACATGTGCGGGGAGCGATGGAGTTCAGAAAGTACGTCCGCCAGCAATGACACCTTCTCCATTAGGCGATTGGTCCTCACTTTCACAGTTGATATGTGTCCACACCAACTTCAGCAGCTAGAGGTGCTTGCTTAGACAGCGCCTCATCTCACCAACTTGTTGCAACCTGAGACAGCAAAGAAACGCACACTTCACCATCTTGACTTTTTCCCGAAAGCATGGCGAAGGGTTCTTCCGCTGGGTTCACTTGAGTTGTTCTCATGAGAGTCATTACAAGGTGTCATTGCAAGGAATCATCATCATGAAAGTCATTGCAAGGAGTCATTGCAAGGAGTCATTGCAAGGAGTCATTGCAAGGAGTCATTGCAAGGAGTCATTGCAAGGAGTCATTGCAAGGAGTCATTGCAAGGAGTCATTGCAAGGAGTCATTGCAAGGAGTCATTGCAAGGAGTCATTGCAAGGAGTCATTGCAAGGAGTCATTGCAAGGAGTCATTGCAAGGAGTCATTGCAAGGAGTCATTGCAAGGAGTCATTGCAAGGAGTCATTGCAAGGAGTCATTGCAAGGAGTCATGAGAGTCATTGCGAGCTGCGCATGGAGTCAAGTGCAAGTTGCAAGTGCAAGGAGTCAAGTGCAAGTTGCAAGTGCAAGGAGTCAGGTGCAAGTTGCAAGTTGACGCAAGTGCAAGGAGTCGAGTGCAAAAGTGCTCTTCTTAGGGCGGCGGGGTAGTGCCGACGACACTACACGAAAATCGACCCTCTGCGGGGATCGGCGTGGTCGAGGTGCAAAAACCCATGGTTTTTTGCGATTTCTGCGGTGCTCGCGCGACCCTCTGCGGGGATCGGCGTGGTCGAGGTGCAAAAACCCATGGTTTTTTGCGATTTCTAAAGTTCCCGCGCGACCCTCTGCGGGGATCGGCGTGGTCGAGGTGCAAAAACCCATGGTTTTTTGCGATTTCCAACATGCCCGCGCGACCGTCTGCGGGGATCGGCGTGGTCGAGGTGCAAAAACCTATGGTTTTTGCAATTTCCAGCATGCCCGCGCGACCCTCTGCGGGGATCGGCGTGGTCGAGGTGCAAAAACCCATGTTTTTTTTGCGATTTCTGCGGTGCCCGCGCAACCCTCTGCGGGGATCGGCGTGGTCGAGGTGCAAAAACTCGAGGTTTTTTGCGATTTCTGCGGTGCTCGCGCAACCCTCTGCGGGAATCGGCGTGGTCGAGGTGCAAAAACTCGAGGTTTTTGCGACTTTTGTTGTTCGAACTGGTCCTCGGGAGTTGTCTCGTGGTTCGCGCGCCTGCTCCCGGAACCGGCGGGTCGCGGGTTCGATTCCTCCCTGGTCCGCGGGCGGGCGTCGCAAGATGCAACTTGCATTTTAAAGCAACTTGCGCAGAGCAACTTGCGCAGAGCAAGTTGCACAGAGCAACTTGCGCAGACCAACTTGCACCGACCAGTTTGCGCAGAGCGCCTTGCCTAGAGCAACTTGCGCAGAGCAACTTGCACAGCACAGCAACTTGCACAGAGCAGCTTGCACAGAGCAACTTGCAGGGAGCGCAATTTGCACAGAGCAACTTGCAGGGAGCCACTTGCAGGGACCAACTTGCCGGAGCAACTTGCGCGGAGCAACTTGCGCAGAGCAACTTGCACAGTGCAACTTGCGTAGAGCAACTTGCGCAGACCAACTTGCACCGACCAGTTTGCGCAGAGCACCTTGCCTGGTGCTGTCTCGCGCTTGCTTCACAAATGCTTCGTGTAGGGATGCAGCGTTGGGCCGACCTCGCTTGCGATGTTCTGCTTTCGGGCCAACCGTGGTCTAGTTTTCTCCCCTAACAGCTGAAAGCTTTGGGGTCTCAGTCCAGATAGGCTCTGGGGTGGTCCGGGGCGGCCCTGAGGAAAGGTTCCACGAGGGTTTTGCCAGGGTTCCACCAGGGTTGCACGAGGGTTCCACGAGGTTCTGCAAGGGCTGCGGGGTGGTGCGAGCACTAAAAAGAGCACCGCGTGCTGTTGGGGATATCACCTGAGCTTATTGTCAGTAGAAGATGCCACACTTGAACTCTTTCAACGGTAGACATGTTCCAAAGGAGGGAATGCCAGGAATATCCAGCAGTATCCAGGGAAGGGCCACATATATCGTATCCCTTGACACAGCCACTGACCTATGCGGCGTAAGGTTGAGCGCGTGTTTGGGTGCTTCGAGTACCTTGCGCTCACGCTCGCCAGCCGGGCTCCAAGTTTTTGGCTTCCCAATTTCGCAAACCCCGCGTCTCCTTCTTTGTCTCCCTTTTCCAAGTACCAGCCGATATTCCTTGATGGCATGTATGGAACCACGCAATTTGGTGGCCTCATCAACACCTCCGTATGGGGCCTGTGGCAGAGCCTCCGACTGTTTGTGCTGCGGTTCCCTTGACAAAGGCGCCAATCACAGCCAGGAATGGCTCATTCAGTTCCCCGCCCACCGTCACGTGTTTACAAGAAACATCCCACAACCGTTTTATGAACAGAGTTGTTGGTTTCACCGCTCTACGATACAAGGAGTTATTCAGAGGCATGATAGTCCTCGCTTCCGGTGCGAGATCAAACCACTCAACGAGATGGGGATCCAATCATGGTCGGTTGGGGCCTAGCCACCAAGATGCGGGTGAAGTTTGCCCCTTTGTTTGTGGGGACAACTGACGAACATGGAATGTGTCTTCCTGAGCTGACGTCTTTGGTTAGCTGAAAGACCTGGTAAATCTACGCAACTTTCAACTCAGGGCACCAAATGCTATAGGAATAATCTTGGCGTGTGTCAACAAACCTCTTCGTCTCATTTTGGTTTGCCTTGGGAATTCCAAGCCGCCCTGCAAACGGATCCAACTCGTTGTGACCCGTCCAAAAACAAATACCGTATTGGTAAACAATCCCCATCCACACTATCTTTGCTAGGTTTTCTGTTAAATTGTACGGTCAGGATTTGTGGTTGCCAGGCGTTGGGGTTCTCCGGCGAATCACTTCTCCCGGTGACCACTCAACCTGCTGGATTGGCAGGGCGGGACTGGGTTGGTAATGGCTGGCTCGGTATTTTTCCACAGGAAATCAGCTGGAATGTATGTTTAGTCTCAAGGGAATTACATAATTTCTTTGTTGTGTTCAAACATCCCCTTTGGGGCCGGAAGGCAAGTTTGCTCTGGTTGTTTGGCGATGCGCAAAAGAGGTGTCCATCTCAAATGGTGTTGTTTGGAATATGTGGCATCAGTGTCAGAAGACCTTGCTTGGGAGGACACCTTGATCATCCGAAGATTTTCAATTGAAGAGCTGCCTAGGACTGGCAACCTCGACTGCATGCCATCCAGCGAGATTGTCTGAGCACCGGCAAAACCGCAGTGCATTGACCGTGGCACTGACGCATTTTGCATTTGCTGCGGGTGGCTGGGAATCTTCCGCGACACGAATGGAGGCGCGTTTGCCTTGGCCCGATGCTTGCGGTGAAAGCCAGTGACGCCAGATTGCCACCGCTGCTTGAAGCTTCTCGGCGAGCCGGAGCTGGTGCTTGCTGCCAGGCTTGCGGATGACTGCGGAGCTGAGTTTCGGCGCATTTTGACAGCTCATCACAAGATCCTTCCAAGATGCGCGGAGTGCGTGCTAAGTTCTGCCGGCGCCGAGCCTTTAACACTTTGGTGTTTCAAGCTATCCCGCTTTCTGTGACCAGAAGCTGCCCGGAACTGCAGCGGCTTCGCTCGCCCGGGAGAGGCTGCCGCTTCCCGTTTGGTCCTCGGCCACCCCGCCCAGGGCAAGACAGGACCATGCCATGACCTGGAGAAACGGTCGAAGCATGGTACATATGCTCGCCCTATGTCTTCGGGATAGTATCCACCCTGGCTCCCCTGGTTTGGAGCAACACGGGGATGGAGAGTTGGGTTACCAGCCAAGTAAGTTAAGTTGTTGATAGGTTCTAACCCACTTGTTAATTGCGAGTCCCCTGCTCAGTGGCGGCAAACCCTGATGGCTCAGTTTGGTCGTACAAGGCGCTGTACCCCTCCTAACTAGAGGTCAATCGATTCACAGCCCCTTTTAAAACCAACTGAGGCAGCCAGGTGGAGCTGAATCTTAGATCTTGGCCAACCTCTGAGCAATGAACACGGCGGTTGATCGCGAGGTCCTGGCCGCAGCGCCGGTGGATTGGCCTCGCTACTTGCGGCAGTTTCCAAAGGCCGCGCACCTGGAGGCCGTCGCCAGCCCGGAGCGGCCAGTTTCTGCGGCAACCCGGGGCCATCGACTTAATTTTGTGAGGTCTTGGACGGACCAAAATTTAGTGGCAACCCCAAAGTCTGGTTAGACTTCTTTGCCAGGTTTTGACTCAGAGTCTGAAGAGCTTTCCCTTGGACCAAAGATCGCGGCTTCATGGCTATGTTGGGTCCCTTAAATTGGTTTGGAAAGATCGCACATTGCCGGTTGTTCTTCTTAAACGCTATGTTTGGGTGGAAAGGGCATGATGACTGCTGTCGTCCTCAGATCTTGGAGAGGAGGACCCGGCCTGGCTGTGGCAAAGGGGTTTGTGGGGAGTTCCTGGGGGTCTGTGCAGCAAACGCCCACCTCCAAATGTGGCAGCACTTAAATGCGGCCAAGCCTTTCTGCATGCTTCGTACCCACCAGTAGATTTCAACTTAAGGGAAAATCCAGTGAACTTTGTTGGTCAAACGGAGGGGTTGCCGCCAGGCTGTCCAAGTCATTGAGATTGGGGCCCTTCCCTTTGTGTTGCCAGACCTGCCCTTCGGGGGTTTGTGTCAGTTTCCCTAACCAGCAAGGATTTCCCTTCTGCAAGGCATTGCTGCAAAATGCCCGGAGGTAATGACATGGTGTAGTCAAATAGCTGGCCGTCCATAAGACATCTCTCGCCTAAACGGCGTCCTGTTGGGGGCGGCTCGCTTTCTGAAAACAATCCAGCCCACCAAAAATCAGAGAGAAGAAGGTAGAGCAGGATGCACGTCAACAAGCAAATGCGGAATTGAAGGTTTTCCAGCCACACCCCAAGGGCCCGTGAAACTTCAATGAAGCCATTTTGACCCCCCCGCCAGTACATCCTGAGTTGCTTGAACCCTTGGGGAAGCATGTTTTTGCCCAACAAGTCAAAGCCAGCAAAATAAGACATGTTCCCCTTCTGTTTAATCGGTCCTAAACTTTTCCGAGCCCCAGAAGGGTTCCTCACTTGCACATTTCGACTTTTTGGGACGACCAGTTCAGTGGCACAAGTCCGGCCATTTTCCGAGAATCCACGGGAGTGAGGTGCGGGTTGGCTTCTGCACACAGGCCTTCGGGGGATGCGTTGCCGCGGCTTCGGGGCGCCCCGTGCCTGCGGACCAGTTCGAGGCACGGAGAAGCTCGGTGAGACATGGGTGCCACAGCTGGGCGCGGCGATGAAGCAACAGATGGTTTATGGGAAGGGGACGGTGGGTGAAGAAAATGGGAAAGTGGTATTCGCAAACCGCATGTTGTTTAATGTCCACCTGGGATTAGTAAACGGGGGTCCCCCCCCCCTCAACAATGGGGGCACCTGGAATTGTATCTTGAGATCCAGTTCAAGTGAGTTTCCATTGTATTTAGTATTGGTAGACTTGAGTTTCCATTTGATTTAGTTTGCTGGAGCTTTCTTTTGAGATTTGGAACTGAGTTTCCATTTGATTTCGTATTGGTAGACTTGAGCTGTAGTATTGCTGGCGCTTCCTTTTGAGATTTGGAACTCAGTTTCCATTTGATTTAGAATTGGTAGACTTCAGTTTCCATTTGATTTAGTATTGCTGGAGCTTCCTTTTGAGATTTGGAACTGAGTTTCCATTTGATTTAGTATTGGTAGACTTGAGTTTCTATTTGATTTAGTATTGCTGGAGCTTTTTTTGTTGAGATTTGGAACTGAGTTTCCATTTGATTTAGTATTGGTAGACTTGAGCTGTAGTATTGCTGGCGCTTCCTTTTGAGATTTGGAACTCAGTTTCCATTCGATTTAGAATTGCTAGACTTGAGTGTCCATTTCCATTTGATTTAGTATTGCTGGAGCTTCCTTTTGTTTTTCTTGGGGGGGCAGGCAACAAGACTTTATTTCGGGGGCCCCTGAAATAATGTCAAGTTGGGGGCTGAAGTACTACCCCCTTTGTGGGTTTGATTGTGGGCAGGTTTTCAACAAGAGACATGTAAGAAAACATGGGTTTGGTAAAGCTGACAATTTGGGATTTTAGGAACAAGGTACCCAAGATCCAAGGACCAGGTGTTGGCTTGGCTATCTCTCCTCTCCTTTCTCTCTTTCTTTTCATTTTTTTAAAGGGGGGGATTTTTGTTGGCGCGGGTAGCGGGTGCTTGTCTTTATTCCAGGTGCATTTACTAATCTTTTTGGGCCCCCCATTTGTCTTTATTTCGCGTGCATTTATTAATCCCACGTGGACAGTACAGAGACCAACGTGCTTCGTTCGTTGCCTAAAAAGGCATGGGTGTGGCCATAGATAGGCGGTAACACAGTGGGCAAAGTCTCAGAATTCCTAACCAACCGCGCATTCCCCCTGTGCGCTGTTGTTCCTTTGAAGGGAAACCTACACAAAAGAAACAAGGGCCGTCAACTATGACGTATTTACTTCTTTTATATGGCACACTTCTTTGTGTCGGTGAATCATGAACCGTCCTTGAAGGTTGCCGCCGTGAAATCTCCTCGTTATACATAAATATATGCATGATATATTATATATTATACAAACACACACACTTGTTTCAACTCTGATTCTGGATGTGACCCTGAACGTTTTGGAAGACCATTTAAGAGGTAAACAACAAGTTCCGATGTTTCAGGAACTGTCCAGGAAGGTACGGCCCGGGAACTCTGCAGGTTGATCAACAACGTTTAGTGCATGAGCGACGGTCCATGTTCATCCGGCATGTCTTGCAGTTTCATTGGGACCAAATCAGGATGCAGAAATGGGGTCGACTCACTGGCACGTCGAACACCCTCCCTCCAACGTGGAAGCTGCTAGAAGCCCAGAAGATGAACTTGGTCTTCCGGGATCCAGTCAGCTTCCATGTCAGATGGTGGACCATACTCGGACCATACTCGCTTGGGATTGCAGCTGGGCACCGGAGAAAGGCAACCTTTCTGCTAAGAAGAATCTGCTTTCAGAGGACCCCGTTTAAACGGGGGTCTCCATGTGAAATTCAAGGGGCGGACTTTGCACTAGACAGGGTCGGTTTACAATTTGGCTTGCCCTCTTGTGACTTTATTGCCAATTGATTGCCTGTCAAGTCATGAGTGAGGTTGACAGAGTTGCTATCATCATAGCCAGTGGGTATTATGCAATTCACCTAGTGGATCGGAAACCAGGACACCTGAATAGACGGACCCTTGTTTGGAGTGGATATCAAAAAGAAAACATGGCACGGCCCATGTTGGTGTTTCTGTATTTTGAGGAACACCCGTATGGCGCATGGCACGTAGCGCATGCCAAAGCGCTGGAGGCACAGCTGGCTGCCGCGCTCAGGGACTTGGGAGTGTCCGGCCACGATGACTCCCCGCTGCTGGGGCCCGGTGGCCCGGTTCCACCGACTCTCCGGTCCCCAGCTGGGTGCCCTTTCACCGTGTCTTTCTTGGGGGAGGGTTCCCCTAAAATAGACGACGGAAAACAGGGTACCCTTGTTCCAACCTCTCTACTGGAGGACCTAGATAAAGTACCTGACCGCCTCAGCTTGGTCGTAGATGGTCCAGTCATGGGGATCATGGCTCCCTGTGGTACCAAATTGAGGCCGAGGAATGAAAGTGGATAGATGGCTTACGCTCGGATACGCTCACCCCCTTCCCATGTTAAGTTGGTAGGGGATACTTGGAAGCGATTTGTGGCGCACGTGCTCTTCCATGCACCATTGCCCATTGCTTGCGTGGCGTCCAGGTGTCTGAATGAAGCAATTGCATGTTAAAACTGAACAACTGCTCATGTCCTCAAAAGAATCTACTCCTTGAGTGAAGCCTCTGGAGTACACGTAGGAGCTACCAAAAAGCACCTGGCCCCTCACACCTGGCGCTGAGAACCGCTGGCCATTTCGATAGTCTAAGTGGCACCTCTCGTGTTAGTCTCCTGGTTTTGAAGAGACCAGTCTTCACATAGCTTGGCTTCAACTAGTTTATTGGCTATGTGTTTGATCAGCTACTAGCATTCTAAGGCAAGCTACCAGCTATGTTTCGGTGATTTCAGCTGCCGCAAGGCAGGGTTCCTTTGGCCGGACTCGCGGGGCCGGACGCGCAGACTCGCGCCAGGCTGGGTCTGGACTCGCTGGGCGCGGTGGAGCTGAGAAATCGCCTGGGCAGGCGATCAAGCGGTTGGAAAATCGGACGGGTCGGAGACAGGGGGATCTTTTTGCCACCTTTGGTGGAAAAATGATCGACCCGCTTGTCAGTCGTGCGGTACAATTGCCACGGTGAGTCGTGACTACGCCCCCGCGTCCTTGTTCCCCCCTTGTAGTGAAGGATTCCTTTTTGAGGGGGGTCGCCAATTTTCTCTCAACAGGTGGCAAAAGATTGCCCTGGTTGGAGAATCCCTTTTCCTTTTTTTGGGGGGAAGCTAGGTCCCCCAGTAGTGCCCTTTCACCGTTTCTTTTTGGGGGAGGGTTCCCCTACTAAAATAGACGACGGAAAAAAGGGTACCCTTATTCTAACCACTCTACTGGAGGACCTGGGAAGGGTTTCCCTTTTAACTCAACCTACCAAAAAAGGATGCCCTTTATTCCCATGGCCACTGGGCATCTGAGAAAAGGTATTGACCTCCCCAAATTGCTGTCAGAGGCCATGGGGATCCAACCTCGGGAGACCCTTTTTGTGACCCTAGCTTGCAGATTGTAAGAGATCCTGGGACATTATGGTGAGGATTCATGAAGCCTTTCCCTAGTGTTTTTTACAGCCAAAAGGTGATGTTCAAAACACATTCATTGAAGGACACATATGAGCTCCTTCAAAAGCAACTCAACAAGGGTTCGAATTGCGTGCGTTTGTGTGGCCCTCTTTCAAGTTGGGTTTAACGCAAAACAACAAGAGCGGTACCATGTTGGTGTCCCTATATTTTGACAACGCCATTGGGGTACAAACTTAAGCAACGGGCGAAGTCTTCAAGGATGTGGACACTAAAAGGGACGGGGCTCGGTTTTCCTTTGGCTTCCCAGAAAAGATTGTGCACAATCGAATTGGCCAGCCCTCGCTTTCCAACAGAGGCTGCTACCAAGAAGTGCTAAGAGCATTTCATCAACCTCTCATGGTTTGTCTGGGTTGAGCGGGAGTTCCTTTGGGAGAGCGCATAGCTGCCGACGGAACCGTGTGAAAAGCCATGGCTAAGCTTGGACGCAGATCAATTGCGCCGGCCGATTCAAGTTGGATGATGGTTTCGTGGTACTGATCAGACGCTTTCAAGTTTCCACTGCCCCACAACCAATACCCAAGCCGCTGGCATCCGCTAGACACCCCTCCCCCTGGTGTTTCCTTGTAGTGTGGTCTTGTTTTTTTTAGTTCTAAAGCAAGACCACAAAAGAGCTTACGAGAGCCAAAAAGATTTCGGAGAAACAAAGAGTTGCGGACACCTGGGAGACGTTTCCTTCGCCCTTCGCGAGGTCTCTGGGACTGGCGCTGCCAGCCACGCCGCTGAAGCGGCAAAATGGATCGTTCCGCGGGCACGTTTTCTGCACTTCCAGTTGCTGGCACAGGGGACATGAGCTACCACTAAAAGGGTTCGTATGAGGGACTTGTCTTGGAGTGGAATAGGGTAACCAAAACTTAACACAACGAAGGGGAGTATTTGAAACAAAGGATTCGCGTTTAGAGTCTGAAACTAAACAGTCGATATGGGATGCTGTGGATTTGTTTTTACTTCATGTCACGTTTTTTCAAGGGCATCCTTTCCGTGTGCAACGACCGGAACCGTGGTGTTGTTTTCCTCGATTTGTACGTTAATTTCGCATCGGTCCACTACCCAAAGCCAATCGTTTGACAGAAACACCAGCGTTTGGTTTCTCTGTGTTTTGTACTTGTTTTTGTTTGGGTCCGGTCTAGAGTTGTTCCTGTTCAGTTTTTGAAACGTGTCTGTCTTTGGTGGTTTAAAGGGAAGCCACCAGGAAACCACCTTTCTTGTTTGGGGTTCCATTTTGAGACAACCCCAATAGAAAGGCGGACATGTTTTCTAGATCCAGTTGAGGACACTTGCGCGTGCTCTGCGGCAGTTCAGTGGCGTTCGCCCGCAAGACATAGCTCTGGGTCTCCGGCTTCTCCGGGAAACTGGAATGTACCAACCCAGAGGGGTCCTTTCTCCGACCTGGTCACTGATTGCAACGAGCTGCTTTTTTTTTGCTTGTTGGGGGAAGCTTTGGTCAGCCATGGCATTCACAGCATTGACTTGGAACCCAAGCTTTAGTCAGATTCCTGGGATGTGCTGGGAATTAATTTTGGCCACGACCCTTATTCTGATTCTGTGGAAATATGGTTAGTTCCATGTGTTTTCAAGTAGGGAACACGGGAAAGCCTGTAATTTGCGACATTTGTTTTGTTTGGTTGGTGTACTTGAAATATTTGGGGAGTCAACTGAGCAGGTGTTTCCGAGTTCCAAGCCCAGACTGAGTGACTAGAATTCTCCACTGAGCGCCTTGTAGTCGCAGGCAATCCAATTTGTGAATGTGTCTGAGGTTCTTGGATTCTTGCTTCAAGTTGTATGGCTGTCGGTGGCGTGGCCAAGATCAGCACCCCTCCCTCCTCTTCTCACCGTTTTTAAGCCTTAATCAAAGGTTTAACGTTAAGCCCGGATGAATAAAGTAATGGTATTAAACCGTTCCCACAAGGCCCCCCCAATACTAAACAATTCGAAGAACTGGAATTCACCTGAATAAGTGTTTTTTCCTTTTCCCTTAAACGGGACTTCACAAGAGGCCCCAAAATTCAGGAAGACCCCCCAAATAAGAAGTTCAAATCCCCAAGAGTTAAGCAAGATGAAACCAGATGAACAAGCCACTCAATCTCAATTGAAACCCTCATCAAATTTCATGGAATCTCTCTGGAATCATCATGTCCAGTTCCAAAGTAGTATTGCCCAAATCAAAAGTAGTATTGCCCAATTCAAAAGTAGTATTGCCCAATACTACAGTAGACCTCCAGATTATTTTGGTGCCAGGTTTTTTGTTGGGAGTCCAAAACCTTCTCGAACTTCTCAGGGGGAGGTTATAAAATCCGGTGTAAACTTGATTTAATTCAGCCACATGTGTATGTATTTGGCCTTGAGGCAACTTGCGCTCAAACGTCGTGGTCAGCCATCATATCAATATCTCTTTCCCAGGATGGTGTTTGACTACCCCTGCCGCCGCGACCTGCGCGCATACCTGAAGACACGGGCGGGGAGCGCGGTTCCCGCGGGCGCAGGTTGAGGTTTTAGAGGTTTGGCGCAGGTTTCCGTTTGTGGGAGTCTTGTGAATTGAACGGTGACCCAACATCATGAAGGACAGACCCCAGGCAATTTCGCCACTGGTTAGCTGAGTGTTTTTCTTATGAACACATGTTAAATTCATGCCTCGAGTGTGGATATGCGTCATGGGTATAAAAGCATCACTGGGTAGCAGTATGACCATGGCAACCTCTTCTTCTGCAAGTAGTAACCTTAGTTGTTCAGTGGCACCCTTCTTCAATTTGTCTCTTGTTCGCCCCAAGGCTAAAAACTTGTTCTGCCAGGGTGACAATGTCGAGCAAATGACCCATGATCCATATTTTAAAATGTGACTCAAGGGAACCATAAGTTTGTGCTGTTGAACGGCAATCTGGAATCCTTCGCATTGGCTACGAAAGAGGCCCCATGAGAGTCACAATCAAACCCCAGGTAGTTGAAACTCATTCGAGGAGAGTCCCAACCAAAACAAGCACAGACGCCCTCTTGATTGTCGGCAAAATGCTGGGTAGACTCTTTTGATACCGAGTTTTGATTGTGGCTCCTTTGGATCCACTTCCCGATTGGAGTTATTCATGCCTTAGGGTTCTGTGTAGAGCTTCCGGGAACCTTTCCTGGGGGGCTTGTCCTTTTCGGGGCCCAGGACGACAGCTTGGAATCCGGCCTCTCAAGGGGCCTGGACCTTGAAGGATGACTGATTTGTGTTTCGATGTCTTCAACCTGCGAGAAGCATGCCACACTCAGTGCTCGAGTTCCTGGACATTTTATAGATATAGGGGTATTTATGTCAATATATATATATATGTATATATACATATAACTAAGAAATAGATAAATAAATATATATATATATATATTCTGGGCGGAGGACCATTCTAGAGGCAAACGAGACTTCGACTTCTGGGCCCCACTCAGGAAGTGAGGCCTTACCTCTTGCAGACCGTTCTGACTAACCCTCGGAGGCGTCGCCAGGGCCAGCGGAGCCGGAGCCGAGTATCACACCGCAGGCTCCACAGGCGCCGGGGGGTCGCCCAAGGTGCGTGGCTGTGGGCGTAGGGATGTGCCGTTTGTTTTGGGGGGGGCAGCCCCGCTTTTTGGCTGGTGGCACGGGAAAACAAAAAACATATACATGATCCTCCAAGTCGGGGAGCCAACAGCCATGAAAGGCCTTGAGTCAGGGTGTGGGACTTGAGCTCTACGGGAAACAGGCACATGAATGCCTTCGGCCCCCTATGTACACAATATATATTATCATTTCCAAGAATGAATCATGAGCTTGTTGTCGGGGTCTCCCTTTTGGCCCCCAACAAGTCCCAAATCCGCGAACCCCGGATCCATCCCTCAGGCTGCTTCGATGATCAGCTCGGAGACTTGGAGAGCGCCTGCGAGTGCGAAAGACGGATGTGTGCGAGTTCTGTTATCACTGAGTCTCCCGAGTAAGTCAAGCCTGTCAGCTGCCTAATGAGAGCCCGATGTTCCGGTCGAGCCCACTTTGAAGTTTGATCAGGGACCCCCTTTGGCAGACATCGATCACTTGGGGATTGATCTCCGCCAGCCATTTTCAGGCGGATCCCTATTGAGATTCCACTTCGGTCGGCTTGCATTTGGCAAGGGCTTGCAAAATCCGGGTTTGTTTTTCTTGGTCCCGATTCGGGGATGAGGGGTCCAATGTCACTGTTCTTAACCCCCATGACATGAATCAACATTGACCTCGGTCGTAACCCACGCAAAGGAGTTTGGGCATTGAGACTTGCCTTTGACAAGTGGAGACACCACTTACCTATGGGCCAAAACAGCCTGAACATGAACCCGTCTATGTGATGTCCACCTACTTCAACGATTTCTACAGGAACCTCTTGGCTTTTGTATTTTATGGCTCGCTGGTTTCTATGATCCGGGGATCTCAGCTACTTTGCTCATGATTCCGTCTAGGTGCGCTCACACTGCGCAGTGCTTGTACTGCGCGCAGCGCAGACGTGGCAGGGGAGCCTAGGCAGGTGTGGCCCCCTTGGTTTGAGCTGGTACTGCGGTTGGAAGCATTCAAACAGGCTTACGGTTGGGTGAAAGTTGATGCCACCGAAAACACATCCCAGTTTGGTTTTGTGATCCTTTGCTTAATCACGCAAAGCGAATCTTGCCGACTACCTGTTTCGTTTTTTAGAAACAAGCGCCTTTGGGGAGTGGTTTGTTTCAACGGTTGGCACCCTCTTTGGGTAGTTTTGAAGGAAGCCAAAGCATGAGGGTTCGCCCGTTTGGAGACACTTGCATTTGAGGAGGACACAAACATGATTTGGAGCGTTTCAAAGCCAGTGCCCTTTCTTTTGAGAACCTCTTTCAAGGTGGCACTCGATTTGCTTCCCTGATAGAGTGGCTCTATGTTTAAGACTATACCGACAAACGGAGCTTACCCATGGTTCGTGTTTGTACCTTGTAGCAGCCGAACGGGGCAGAGATGGCAGCAGCTATGGGCACACAGCGGGTGTTTATAGTTAGCAGATGAGAACATGGGGCAAGCGCAGAGAGTAGCGTGGTCCAATTGAACATGTGAGCAGCGCCCGCCCTCCTTGGCCATTTTGCCAGGTGATCCGACTACCTGGCTTATTGGAGGCCTATTTTGTTGAAACACAATTTCCATCTTAGTAGAACAAACCAACAGTCGATGAGTCGTCAGCACTGCTCATGTGTGTGTTGGGGTCACTGATCATCTTCCTGCGAGTGTTAAACGCCGCGCCGGTGGAATTTCGGTGTTCCATATATGTTTTTGTTTTTTTGCCGTGGCGATGATGGCACTGCGCGATAGGCACAAGCGGCGTCGGGCTCCATGACCCGGTGCTTCACAGATCATTTCCCTGCAAAAAGGAAGTCGTTGTTGGTTGCCTTTTTGGTGCGGAACGAAAGTCGTAGAGCTAAGGAACCCAACTCTTCCCGTGGAGGCGGTGCAGCATCTCAGGCGGCGTTGCGATGCTGAGTCAGAGCCAAGAACCAAATCCGCGCGCTGCAGGTGAGGGAAGTTCCCATCACTCGCTGGGACCTGGAGAGCTACTTCCACGAGGCGCGGGATCGAGAGAGAGTGCCGCCCATGGAAGGTGGATCCAAAAAATGGCTAAAATCGGTACCCAAAATGGAGCCCTGGTAAATGGAAGCACGGACTAAAACCTGTGGTCCTCTGGTGGTTTAATTTTGACCCATACCCAAAATGTTGCGGAGTTTGGAGCCCCGGCTCCAGCACATGAGGTTCGGGGCTTCTAAAGCCACATGTCGCATGTTTGATATATGCTTGCTTCTGCAGGTTTAGGCACCTGTGAACCGGTGCCCGCTGTGGGTTCCTTTGGTGGGTGGCTCCGTTTATTGAGCCATAGGCAAGGGTCAATCACGCCATACACTACGGTGGATGCTAAATCTTGCAAGTGCACGAACCACAGTCAACCACTAAAACGAAAGTAAGACGAAGCAACACCGAGGAAAGCCGCTGTCCCCACTCGCAACAATTGGGGTGCCAGGGGGTGATAGTCAGAGTCCATACCTTCAGCCTACCATGTCGCATGCGGCGCCGCATGTGGATCAGGAGGGGAGCTACAGCAGGCCTGTGTCGACACAGGGCAGGGGTGGGTAAGTTCCCTTCAGCAGTGGAATTGGGTCCCAGGGGATTCCCCAAAAGGACGGAGTCTTCCAAAAGCCCTTTGTGAGGGTAAGTGTAAGTTCCCTTTGGAAGGGGTGATATTGGAAATATGGGGACCCTGCAGGACTCGAAAGGTTTCCTTGCGTGGCAGGGTGGAGAAATGAACAAGTGGACTGCATGAACCAGTGACTGAAGCAGAATGAAGCCGAAGGCCGCCCCCCCCCCCCCCTCGGGTTCCAATCCAAATTGCTTCCGCGTTTCTCCAACCTCTCGTTGAAACATCGTCAGTACTTTGAGACTGGAATCATGTTATATGTTTCCCCATGGCACCTGCGCTCAACTTTTGGGCAACTTAGCAGAGGGATCTGACTTTCTGCTTTGAGGTACTGCTGTTTGGACCATAAGATTGATGGTCATGTTACTTGAGCCAAGAGTGCATGTGCTTGGGATTCCAGGTTTTTTTGGGTTTAAAGCTTCCGCCGGCGTGTTCACCGCATCTTGGCCACAAGACTTTACAAGTTGTTTGTTTCTGACATAGGTAAGGTACATATATGAACAAGCCATTCTATGTTAAAAGGTTCACTTGTCATGGGCCAGCATCTGAGTATATGTTGAGTCGGGAGCAACCGCTGAAGTGGCAGGTCTTGGGAAATGGACAAGGCAGCTGAGGCCGTTTTCGAGTTGCCGCATGACGACAGTTCTAGAACGGCAAGATAATCATGCACACGAAGCCCAACTCAGTTGGCACATGTGTTTTTCGTTGTTTTAACAGACAGATAATGAACGAACGTTCCAACCAAATATCCAAGCAAGCAAGCAAGCAAGCAAGCAAGCAAGCAAGCAAGCAAGCAAGCAAGCAAGCAAGCAAGCAAGCAAGCAAGCAAGCAAGCAAGCAAGCAACCAACCTGTGTACATCTGCTGGGGGCACTGCCGCGGATGCTGGGTTTCTTGAAGCGCAGGCACGGCAGCTTTATGGCAGATGTGGAGTTCTTTGACTGCCACCTCTTCGGCATCTCAGAGAACGAGGCGAGGCGCATGCACGTTGAATCATCCACTCGCCGTTTACCCAAGCCATTCGGCGGTCAAGACGGCAACGTTGAATCACCTGTTGGCTGGGGGCAATTCAGATCGATTCGGAACTCGGAGGCCTCCGCCATGGACCCAGCGCAGCGGAACTTGCTGGAGGTCGGGTTGCAACCCGAAATGGCCCTCAAGCCAGGGGGGCTTTCTATGGATGGACCACATCCGCCAGTTGGGATGGATGAGAGACCCTATTCAGAAACCACCTCCCAACCGGTGCGAAACGGATTTTGTCCCTGGACCCGCTATGTTCCGTTCGTGTTTGGTCGGGTTGCTCAGTGGATTCCACTCCCAACCCGAAAAAGGGTCCCCGGTTTCTTCCAGGATCATTACGGTGGGATGATGTTCACAGGGGAAGAATCGGTGAGTCAGGGTGATTTTTCATGCGGGCCCTAAAAGCCTGTTGCTGCAGGCAAAAGGCGCTCCAGATCAAACGATGAAGCGTTTGTGCTTCTCTTTCGGGTGTCATTTGAAGCCGTTCAAAAAGGGTGCTCCCCAAAGCCTGCTCCAAAGGAAACGGGCCAGCCAAGACTGGCTCGCTTCTTCAAGGAAACAGGCCAACCAACTTCCCGAGTCCCAAGGTGGACCTGCGTTTCCTGAGAAGCCCAACTTGGGTTAGCAAAGCTGTGGCTAAGACAACGCCTCACCCATTGGGTAACTGGATCACACCAAAAGCAGCGCTGTGCAGCCAGGTCAGCCATGCCTCGCTGCATTGCAGCGGTTTTGCAGGAGAGCTGGTGGCAAGAAGTGGCTCTGTTCATTTGGAGGTTCCAGCTCGTTTTGACACGGGCCGGGTTGAGAGAGCATGCCAAGATTGGCCTTGCAAAGACGCAGCAAACCCTTCAGTGTGGCCCAAAGCTTAAATGTGTTTGTTGCTGGATGGTTTGGGGATTTGATCCTGCCCTAGTAACAACTCAATTACAGCATGTCGGCGACTGGCTTTAGCCGCCAGCTTGGTTGTCGAGTAAAAAAACAACAGGATTTGGTGAGCCCAATATGTACTCCCCGGCAAATTATGAGAAAGAGGGGTAGATTGGCATGGCGCGCACAATTCAAGGGACGTGACTGGGCGCTGGAATGTGAACCCTTCTGGCAACTGAATGCCGCCGCTCATCAAGAGAACGTCCGAGTCTTACGTAAGAACGGGAATCGTACCGCCATGCCATGTGATTTCGATGATGGCGTTTGCGGAGACCTTTGGCCAAAGCAAGCTTCATGGGTTTCCCGCCAAATCATGCAGTGGCTACCCATGGTGCAGGCGCACCACATTGAATATGGTGCAAGCGCCAAAACTGGGTCGCTAAATATAAACGTGCCCTCAAAAGGGTAGACGATAGAGTCACTCAATTGTCTCCAGACTGCAGGGCTCGGACCATTCTGTCTGGGGGGCTGTCCCGATTGTTCCAACATGGTCTGTGCCGACGTGCGCAGGAACTCGCCCGGTGCGAGAAACATATCAATGTCAGGTGAATGGTAGGTCAATTGAACTTCCTTCAGGTGAGGGCTTGGCAAGCTTACAGACGTACAGTCAAAACGTGGCGAGATATGCCCTGCGCACCTTCTGACACTGTCGCTGTTGACCGATCTCGTTTCATGTTTGTGATGTCTCAGCTGCTTCCACAAAGTGCCAGGATTTCATTGGACTTTCACCCTGACACACGGAGGTGTCATCTTGCCTTTATAGCTTTTGTTTGGCGCTGTCTTTCACAGTTTCACTCGGGTGCCTGACAGCAGGGCCTGGCTGCCCCGCTCCCAACTCAGGAGCCCAGGGTCTCGGAGCGGTGGTGGGCTCGACGCAGCACGACTGGTTCTTGCTGCAGGAGACCAGTTGCTTCAGACTTGGACAAAGCGATTCCTCGGTGCACATATTTAATTACTACCCCGGCTGCGAAATTATGCTGGGCCAGTGTCATTCCTGTGAGACACACCCCGAAAATGTACGTGCACGTTATAAATATGTATATATATATATATATAGAGAGTTATATATTTACATAGAGACAGAGGCATGAACACAAGTTGCAAGAGCGGCGTGTAGCGACTTGCAAAACTCAGGCCCCTCCTTGGGGGCATTCTAATTTAGTGCTTTAGTTCATCCCGAGTCTCGAAAAGAGATACCCAAGCAGAGGCTCTGCCAATACTGACGTATTAAATATAGCGTATGTGTTCACTTTTCCCTTTTTGGAAACACACAAGTTGGGTAGACCCTATGTGCGACCGAAGGTTTCGACCTTTCAGGGTCAATTCAGGGAAACGCATCCCATTCCGCGAGTTTGTCGAGTCAATGCTTTGCTACATGCTACATCCTCCAATGCTCCGGCTCTGGCGTTGAACGGAGTCTTCTTTGAACCCTTACAGATGAATTGCTGGCTGAAAGGACAAAATACAACGTCTTCCGGTTTTGCCCCGTGTAGGCCAACAAGGCCTGCAAGAGTCCACAAGGTATGTTCGGGTGACCAAAGAGCGATTTCGCACCCCTCCCTTTTGGCTCCTGTGCTAGATGTGACTTGTTGTCCATCGGTGTGGTTGTTTTCAGGCCACAGAAAGAAAGGAAGGAAGGAGAAATATCGAAAGACCAAACACCAGCAATCCTCTTTGTTTTCGGATGGACTGCAAGGACCCGAGCGTGCGCTCAGCTTATGGGGGCCTTGCGGTGAATGGCGCCATCCTGGCCAATAGGCGGGCGGTAGCTTTCCGGGGAAACAGGGAAAGTCAAGCACGTGTCGCTTAACTTCTGCCCGGAAACCCCGTTTTGCGACTCCAGTTCTGAATCAGTTAGCAGTCCACCCTTGCTCCGGTTGGAACGGGAAAGCTGCGAGAGCGAGCATCTCAGGAAATGGTGGAGTTGTCTGTGTGTTCATCGGTTTATTTACCTGTGCCCCATGTTATCTTGGAAGTCTGGGGACGCTTTCGGCTACGCCCTGCCGATGGAGGAACCATCTAATTTTTGCCAAAGCCAAGGTGAACTGGGTCATGACGCCCCCAGACAAAGAACTCCGCAATTTGTAGCCAGGCGCGTTCTTGATGAGGATTCTCCCTTTTCCAGCTGAAACCCTGATTAAACCAACCGGGGGAGGGGGGTCATTAAGACAATGAATGCGTTTGAGTTTCCTGGCGGTTTGGCAGAACTGGCTTCCTAGCGCTTTGTGGCAAATTTGGGCGGCAACGGCAGCCGAGAAGCTACAAGACAATCCACCCAAACTCGTGTGCGAGCGATTCTGATTTTTGACAAGATGTGGTCAGGAATGCTCCTGGATCCTGACGTGGCTCCTTTGGCTTTTGCTCCTTTGAAACTTTGGGCCGGGAAACCGAAAGGAAACCATGGGATCCTTGGCTCAGAGTGCCTGGGGAGGGAAACGGCCATGGCGAAGCTTGACCCCTGGCCCCTGGCCCTGGCGTAGTAATATGCCACAGGACTTCGGGGAGGTTTTCTTTTGTTTTGCGGGTCCTTGCAAACACCAAGATCCCGACAGGACAATTTGGGACTTACATTTTTGGGGGGCACCTCCCTTTTGTTTTTTGTGTTGCCTTCCATTTGTCTGCGGGGTAAACCTGCTCATCTTGTTGGCTTAGGCTTTCCTACAGGTACTTTCGGGGATTTTTACGTTTTTGTGTTTATTTTTTGGGGTGGGGGGAGTTGGGGTAGCCCGTCGGCCTCCTGCCTTTGCACGTGTGGCCGAGAGGGCAACAGTCCCAAAAGGCTGTGGGCACCCTCAGCTTGTAGGTCAGCTGCTCCCTTGGTAGTTTGGATTGGTCCGGATTGGTGGTTTAGTGGTAAAGAGGCCTGAAAGCCTCCACAAGAACCAGGGGTTTAACTCCCCAAACCACTAATCCAGCGAACCAAGGGTTACCTCAGGAGATGTCATTGGAAAGCTCAAGGATGTTTCCAGCCCTGGACTTAGCATCATTGGATCTATGCGCACTTGAAAGAACTGGCCTTCAACCACCCATGTGGTATTGATACCCAAGCAACCACACCCTTCCCAAAAGTGATGCTTCCGCAAAAGCTCAAGTTGGAAAGGAAGTTGCCGCGCTCTGCATTCACGCCAACCCCTGGTTCAAGTACCAGGCCCCCAACAAAACACATAGTGGACAAGATCCCGCACCTCAGATTGATGAAGCCCTATGCCCAGATTTCCCCACCGCTTTCTTCGCTGGTATGACTCTCCCATGGCCCGCGCGGAGCGCGCTCCCGCCAGGCTTTCCTTCAACTTCGCGCTGCGGGGCCCGAGCCTCACGGCCGGGGCCCCAGTCACTGGAAGGGGCGGAAACGCGGCTTCCCCAGTTCCCGGAAAGAATCGCCCTTTGGTGAACGGAGGGCTGGGGGGGAAGGTCCTCCTCCGGAGGCGTCTTCCCAAGCACACCCCGGACCCCCCAAACAAACTCCCTTGGGAAAGGCTGAAATGGGTACGGGTCAAAATTCAACCACCAGAGGACCGCTGATTGTAGTCTATGTTTCCTCTTACCAGGGTTCCATTTTGGGTACCTATTTTTGACCCACAGCCAAATAAGAAAGGGAAGGGTGTGCGTGGCTGAAGGTCCCAGTAACCGTTCTACAAAATCTTGGCCAACGACGCATAGGACCTCATGGACTTTCCAGGAAGCTTGGGGTACCTCCATGACCAATCTTGCGATGATGCACGGGTCAAGCCCCTTGCAGCAAGGTAAACACTGAACCTTTCTTCGCGGTTTCTTTTTGGTAAGGAACCCTGTTGAATATCACCATTTCAGGTTTCAGTTCCTAGAGCTGACAAGCCTGTCAAGGTGCCACACAGCCCAGAATGCGTATTATTCTGAAATAAGGGGATGAATAGCATGTCTTCTGTTTTGCAGGCCCCCTATTACACACCACCTCCTCGTTTTTCCAGTGATTTGCATTGGTGGTTTTGGGGGTTGGACTGAAACCCAATCCGAACCACCTGACTTGTGTTGTGCTTCAGGAAAATCCTCGTTGTGCTTTCCATTTCGAAGGGTGCTCTGGAGTTCCTGGACTTGATACTTTGGAAGGGTTTCCATTTCGCCAGGTTGACACGGCCTGCTCCAGTGCCCTGGTGGCGCTGCGCCAGGCGCAAGCTGCAGGCGTGCGGGAAGCGGCTTTGCCGGTGGATGGGGAAGCGACATTTCTTAGGTGGTGCGAAATGGATTTCGCAACCATCCACGGTAGTTCCCTCAAGCCTGAAAGGAATACCATAGGGCATGGTTTATGGGGGTCATTCCCTCATTCTGTGCTGAGAATGAGCAAGCAAGGGCCTCGGTTGGTTTAGTCAACATCATGGGTTCTGGTTCTCGGAATTGATCATTAGGCATCGCGTGCTAATTATTTTGTTTCGTTCGATGTGAACTGTGTTGGAGAATCAACGCTGGGTTGTCAAAACAAATGCGATCACCAGCATCACCATGGGACCATATTATTATGGCCAGCCCCTGAGGGTTGCCTGCGCGTCCAAGCAACGCCCCGACGCCCGAAACGAAAGGCCAAAGCCGCCTCAAGCGCTTGCCGTCTTCGTCACCACGTGCTCGAATTAGGCTGATACAGACAAGCGCAGCTCGGCTTGTCGAGATGGCGGCTGCTTTTTGCGCCGTTCAGACAAAGCTAGCCGGTACTGATTCTTGAGAGCTTCTAAGACATGCACTCGCCTGGCCAGCCACGCTTTGTCGCCTTGCTGGAGGCGCCTTCCGACTGGCTGCTCGGGCTTGTGCCCTGGCTGGTTGCAGCCAACCCCTCAGCTCTGTGCCTTGCCGCCTTTCTGGACAGTTCGAGCCTGTTTGATGGGCGCCGAAGCGGGCCGTGGCTCACGGCTTGCATCGCGGTCCGGCGCTCATGTAAACCGCAGTCAGTCGGGCTCGCGCTAGCGGCAGCTGCCACAGGATCCAAGAGGAGTTGATCATATTTAGTCAAAGCTTGTGAGGCTCTTTCGCTGCTATGTTTCTTGGAGCCTCGCGGCAAGGATCTCACGTTTGGCGCTAGAGGTGTTGCGATCTGCTGGGAGGCTTGCAGAACCCTTGGCGATTTGCTCTTGCAAACCCGGCAAGCAGCCATTTTGCATGTTGCTTCATGGAGCGCGCGTTTGCTCTTGGCATCCCATGAAAAAAACAGCTGAACCTTGGGAAGCCGTAGGGTGTAGCTGCTTTAACATCCTGACAGTCTTCCCCAGAAAGAAGCCAATAGCTATCAAAGGAAGCACCTTTCTGGGGGATAGCCAGGTTACGCATCCTCACGGATCATCCGGCGCCCGGACACTTCATCCCCGGACGCCGTTTCGGGCCGCAACCGTTCAACTGCAGGCGGTCCAGCCTTGGTTGCCGCGTGCAACCTGCTGCTGGCGCCTCAGGCGCGGCTCGTGGCGAGACCGGCGGCGGGACCTTGCGCCGCCAAAGGCCGCCCCTGTGATAGAAGCAACATGTATAGGTTTACGAGTGTTCCCGCAACTGGGTGTGTTTTTGTTGAGGGCAGCAAGTGTAGGGTGATTTCTTATCAGACAACTTGCTGAACCTCATAATTCCTGAGGTTTTTTGCTAAAATTCATAAGCCCCCGCCACGATCGGACCGAGTGATTGCAACTGCCAATTCCGCTATGACTTGCCAAACTATGCGAGCTGATGCTGATCGCGGGGCCCCTGGGTATAGGATTGTCCGTGCTTCCGGCTTGCCGTTGCATATGGGTGTGGCTTGTGTGGGGTAACCCTCTTGTGGTGGTTTTAAAAAGAATCAACTAAAGGAAAAAGCACCGTTTTGGGGTCCCCTCAAGAAAAAGCAGACCCATATGTGCACCGTGTTAAGCTTTGAACACATGTTTATGCTGCCTGAATTGGCGCGATTTACCTGTTCGATCAGATCGTCTTTGAGCAGCCTCGGCCAGGAAGGGCAACGGTCCACCAACGAGCCATGGCTGGTTGACACGACGTTCTTGCAAACGGAACAGCTGGAAGTCCGCCTGTGCCCCCCAGCAGAATCTACCTCGTGATGGGAATGTTTCAAAACTCATAGAAGCTTCATGTTTTGTTTTGGAATGTGTGAACCAGGGACCCTAAGTTTTGCTAAGTTTTGTCGCGTGGCGAAACTTCCCCGTGTCACAAGTCACAAGAGGCAGGTGCAACTCAAGCAGTAAGTTGGGTTCAATTAGGCCATGCTCACAAGCCACCGCAAGTCACCAAGTGCAGCGCGCTGCCACCAGAGCAACTTGTGTCTAGCTCATGCTTGTGACCAGTCATTGCGCTTAATTGCGCTTCATTGAGAACAGCTTTGAACAATCACCCTGACGCCGCAGCAGTGTTGCGCATCGCGATGGACAAGTTTGCTGCAGCCAATCGCAGGGAATCTATCAGTATGTGGCGGTGATCACTTCAGCAGCAACAGCAACAACCACGACAATGACAACGACAACCACAACAAGATAATCGTCATCAACACAACCAACAGACAACAGCCAATAGCCAACAGACAACGTGTTTCTGTTTGTGCTTCTGACATTGCTGGATGTTTATCCGGTCGGTGCAGATTTGCCGACCAAGCCCTTGAGAGGTTCGAGACATTGGGGACAAAGACCAAGACCAACTGTCCCATGTTTGACGTCTCAATATAAGGGGCTAATATAGCCAATTACCAATAGTACTCTGCCAAAATCACCACCTACTGTTTGAACGTGCCCCAATCCAGTGTTCTAATTGTTCGGCCCCTAGCACCTCTAGCAACCAGAAACCCGTTGCCAATTTTAGGCAACTGGCGCTGGGACGGCGCTGTCCAGGCAGCTGGTTCCCGAGATCTTCGTCTCCTGAACTTGCGAAGATGGGCCTTTTTGCATGACATGTAACAGGAATCCTGGACGAAACCAACCATTTTCGAGGAAGCCAACCAGTTCTGAGTTATTTGAGGTTTCCTCGATGTTTGAGGTTCAACATATCTTTTGAGGTTCCTCGACTTTTGGAAACCCCAGTTCGTGCTCAAAAGCTTTGCCATTCTTCCCTCTGAAAGCCACTGGGCGCCATGCCCCCGTCTGCACGCAGATCTTCGTCCTCTACTCGAAGGCACAGATGCGCGGCGCCTCGGGTCTCGGGCAAGACTTCCTCCAGCTCTGATGACACGTATGCTGCCAACAGCATGTGAGTGACTGTCTTTACTTGCAGAACTAAAGGCAGTGGATTTTGTGATGGCGGTTTTGCTCTTGATTTCTATTTTGTAACGCTTCCCCCAGGAAATAAAACAACGGTAGCAAAACGCCTTGTTCCCCGTCCTTGGCTATGTGTTTTTTTTCTTCTGACAACCATGTCAGTGCCACACACACAACTTTAAGCTTATTTGCCGTCCATTCAGAAGATTTGCAATCAAAACCCGTGTAGATGAAGGTTAGTAAGGGACAATCCCAGCAAGAAATAGTTGCGGCCGCATGCGGCCGCCTTTGTGTTTCCTTACATGGTTCTGGGTCAACCATTTTAATACCGGGTTTTGATTGTGACTCAGAAGGGGAGGAAAGACACCTGGCGCGACGTTTTCGAGTACCCGCCGAGGCTGTCGCGTCAGGGCCGTTGCTTCTCCTTCGCCTCGGGCTCCGACGGCTACGTGCGGGGCGAGGCAGCGGTGGCTTTGCTGCTGGCGTCGGGAAGCTCGGGGTTGGAGAAGCGCGCTTGGGGTCTCCTCGGAACATAGCTGAGCCTTGGGTGAGGTTCGGAAAAAAAGCCGGGCAATCTATGGCCCGTTTGGGAGGGACATGGGAACTCACATCTCCCAAAACTGTCCCGTTGGGGAAGCGTCTGTCAATTTGAGCGTGGCTGATGTATCTTACGATTGACTAAGATTGAACATCTGACAAGAAGTACGTTGTGGTCGTGCACCCAGGAGCTGGGCCAAGTTGTCAGCTTCCATGGTTTGGCGCAGGCCGCATTCCGGAAAAAGAAAGCTGGTGTCTTCCAACAACGGGCCTGTGCACCAGTCCATTGCGAGGGTGAGGTCTATTTTGAAACCTGTTTGTAACATATTGTAGTTCTGGGTGTGGTGATGCAGTTGTTTTCAGGGACTGTACCTTGGACCTGACAAATTTGACATTATGTAGACAAATGAAGCTGGGCAGAAGGAATATATTCAGAGGGCGTTTACTGAATATATTTGGTATGAATTTGAGAGTTGGAAACACCCTACAAAATGGTTGATGGACATAGATTCCCACGTGAGTGACCACCAAAGGTTCCCAATTGAAGTTCATACCCATTGCCAGATTCTGAACATGTTTTTCGGGGGGGGGGGGGCGCAAACGCGGAGGTAGGAAGATGATGGACACGAGTCAATTCTAGCCAATTCTAGGGGCACCACGTCAGAAAATGTATTAAGGCGGAAATCACGAACGTTACCGCGCATGTTGGTGAGTTGTGGTGGGCCATGCGTTTGGCAAGAACACGGATCGAACATGTTTGTCAGCTTAGAAGCAAAAATGTGAAAACGCATAGGCACGAACTAGCCGCACAAAGGCAGTCGCTGGTTTGCTTGTGGGGTGAGATCCGGCTGTGGATGAGCGGTGCGCCAAGCGGTGGGATGTGTGCATAGTATACGCATACACATACGCGTGCATGTACGTACACATGTATACATCTATGTACATATTATATTATATTATATATAGATATGGATATATGAACATAGATGACGTAGTATGCTGATGTTTGCCCATGCTTGTGGCTGCAGACGTATCATCCTTTGGCTCGAGCTAACCAAACTGCAGAAGGACTGCTGGTAAACATGCACCAAGATTCGTAGGCGAAACCCATGTTTTCACCTGCTCCTGCAGCAGCCTACATGTTGGCGGTTTGGCCTGGGACACCCTCTTCTTGGAGCTGAGCACCCATAGATGCAAACAGAAGAACCCATCATGCATCAGAAAGTCGGTGAGGCGCTTAGGGCGGTCAAGCCGACTTCCCTGTTCAGCTTCCCCAAGCCCTGGGTGCGAATCGGCATTGTTCGGGGTTTTGTCTTCAGCCTCTGGACTGTAAACAAACTTTGCGGGAACATTATTGCTTTAGACCAACTTTTTGGCTATTGTTTGGCCAGTCTCCACACCCCAGTTTGCCTTTTTCATCTTGGCCTGTTAATTTCCTTTTAAATTTCTGAGATTCTGAAGTCGTATTGAGAGAAACATGATTTCCCCATATTTCCCCTATATTGACCTGTCCTATAGCCGTGGTTTCCCAAGTCCCACATGGTATACGTCTATGCAACAGCTTTCTCCTTGGTTTTGCCACGCTTTTGCGGTTTCCCGCTACATGGGCATTGGACCCCAGCCCGATGGAGCTGACGATTTGCGGCCTGGACGGGACAGAGCTTCGACTGGACGTGGAGGAGGAACTGCTGGGCTGGGAGCTTGTGCGCCTGGTGAGGCGTCGGGACCGGTAGTTTGGATTGGTGGCTTGGGGGATTTGAACTCCTGGTTCCTGTACTGGGAAACCACCCCCAACCTCCAAACCACCAATCCAAACCAAGAGTTAAGTTGAAGCTGAGGTGTTTGGATTTCCCTTTGGCTAGATCTGCACTTAAAACACATCTCGGTGGATTTCCTTCATGGTTTCTTTGGTGTTTTCGGGAGTGGGAATAGGAATAGGGACGAGCGGGAAATGGGAATTTGAATTGGAGATTTGAAGTGGGAATGGGACTGGGAACGGGAATGGGAGTGGGACTGGGAGTCGAATGGGAGTGGGAGCGGGAATGGGAATGGAAATTGAATGGGAATGGGAATGAATGGGAATGAATGGGAATGAATGGGAATGATTGTTGAAAAGGCAACCACAAAGGGATGGAAGCCCTTCTGGTAAGGAGCACCCTGTTGGAATTTCAACTTCAGGCAAAGAGTCCTAACAAGTTGCGAGGCTTGGCCCTGGTTCTTTACCATTTGCGATACCCAAAGCGGTTTTGCTTGAAGCTTGAGCCAGGCTGAAGCTCCCACCGAAGCCCGCGCAGCTGCGACTGATCTTCGGGACCTCCAGGCTGGTGGCCGCCCAGACGCTTAAGGAGCCGACTGTCGAAGCTTCGGTCTGGGTTCGCCCCGCAAGGACCGGCAGAATTTGGAAGTTAGAAAGCTGGGAGAGGAAAGTGAGTCAGCAAAGCTTCGTGTTGCCGATAGAATTTGTTATTCGGATCCTCTTTCCCTTTTGTATGTTGGGGTATCTGGTTTTTTCCCAGTTCTTCAGTAGGGCTGCGTCAATATCAACACCTGGCCCTGGCGGGGCCTGAGTCAGAACCCATGGTAAGGAATCACACTGGCTGACGGCTTCACCACAAGCGATGTGCACAATGACTCCAACACCTGGAATAAAATAGGCAGACACAGTCGCGAGGCCCTTTCGGGTCTCTGAAAACCGTTCTCATCGGGCATGTGCCCTCTGTTCAGAGCAAGGTGACTGGCACAAAGCAAAAACCACAACGAAAACAAAACGCGTCAAACACGAGAATCAGACTCCAACACACAAAGCAATACAAAAATCAAAAAACAAGTACACAAAAACAGACACGAAACAGAACGGGCAACCAGGGGTGGAATCTCATTGAAACGTAGGACAACAAGAGCTGAGCCACAATCAATCCCGGGGATGAAGGGCGCTCAGCAGTCAGCCAGAAAAACGTTGTGGAAGGAGGCCCTTTTGGTTTTCTGATTCGTGTCTACGTTAATGGAGGCATGATACCGAACCCAGTAAGTCGGCTGCGTAGTACCCACTCAAGCTGGCTTTCTCTCACGTATTACCAGTCCAGACACCTGCATCAAGAGGCAGCCCACTCAATATATGGTGTTCCAATTGTGATGTGCCACTCCATTGTTTTGGTTTCAAATGTTTGTGTCATATGCGTGGTTGCTGGTAACTTGTTACAAGGTAGCCTGTGTGTTTGTTTTGTGTTGTTGTGTTTGTTGTTTGTGTTTGTGTTTTTTGACTTGGGTGTTGGTTGTATGTTTGTGTGGTTGAAGGGTAGTGTGGTTTTGTGTGTGTGTGTGTGTGAGTGTCCGTGCGTGTTTGTTTGTTTGTGTGGGTGCGTGTGTGACAGTTCCTGTCTATCTTTCTGTGTGTGAGTGTCTGACTGTCTGACTGTCTTACTGTCTGAGTGTCTGAGTGTCTGAGTGTCCGGGTGCGCGTGTGCGTGCACGTGCGTGCGTGCGTGCGTCCGTATGTCCGTGCGTCCGTCGTCCGTGCGTGCGTGTGTCCGTGCGTCCGTGCGTCCGTGCGGCCGTGCGGCCCTGCGTCCGTGCGTGCGTGCGTGCGTGCGTGCGTGCGTGTGGGTGCGTGCCTGTGGGTGCGTGCGTGCGTGCGTGTGGGTGCGTGCGTGCGTGCGTGCGTGCGTGCGTGCGTGCGTGCGTGCGTGCGTGCGTGGGTGGGTGGGTGGGTGGGTGGGTGGGTGGGTGGGTGGGTGGGTGGGTGGGTGGGTGGGTGGGTGGGTGGGTGGGTGGGTGGGTGTGGGTGTGTGTGTGTGTGTGTGTGTCTGAGTTTGTTTGTTTGTTTGTGTGGGTGTGCGCGCACATGTGTTGTGTGTGTGTGTGTGTGTGTGTGTGTGTGTGTGTGTGTGCGCGTGTGCGTTTGCGCGTGCGTGCGTGCGTGCGTGGGTGGGTGGGTGGTGCGCGTGCGTGCGTGCGTGCGTGCGTGCGTGCGTGCGTGCGTGCGTGGTGCGTGGGTGCGTGGGTGCGTGGGTGCGTGGGTGTGTGGGTGCGTGGGTGCGTGTGTGGGTGTGTGGGTGTGTGTGTGTGTGTGTGTGTGTGTCTGTGTCTGTGTCTGTGTCTGTGTCTGTGTCTGTGTCTGTGTCTGTGTGTCTGTGTGTGCGCGTGTGTGTGTGTGTGTGTGTGTGTGTGTGTGTGTGTGTCTGTGTCTGTGTGTGAATCTATGTGTGTGTGTGTGCGTGTCTGTGTCTGTGTGTGAATCTATCTGTGTGTGTGTGTGTCTGTGTGTGTGTCTGTGTGTTTGTGTGAGTGTGTGTGTGTGTGTGTGTGTGTGCGTGTTTGTGTGTGTGAGTGTCTTTGTGTGTGTGTGTGTGCGCGTGTGTCTGTGTGTGTTTTGCTTGTTTGTTTTTGTTTGTTTTTGTTTGTTTTTGTTTGTTTGTTTTTGTTTGTTTGTTTTTTGTATTTGTGTGTGGGTGTGGGTGTGGGTGTGTGAGCGTCTCTGTGAGTGTGTGCGTCTGCGTGTGTTTGTGTGCGTGACTGTGGGTGTGTGTGTGTGTGTGTGTGTGGGTGTGTGTCTGTGTGTGCGTGTCTGTGTGTGAATGTGTGTGTGTGTGTGGGTGTGTGTGTGTGTGGGCGAGTGTGGGTGGCTGGGTGGCTGGGTGGGTAGGTGTTTGTTTGCCTGCGTTGTCTTTCTATTTGTTTGTGTGGTTGTGTAGCACGGATTAGGAGCAGGGCCTGCACAATCAGTCCAGCGGCCATTTCACCTACGCTCATGCGGACGTGGTCGAGGCATGGTGTGCGCTGAAGGCTGGCAGTATGAAAGAAGCTGACGGAGGTCTGGACGGCATCATGCGAGTGAATTTCCTGGATAACTTTTGGCAGGACTTGCAGGGCTTGACTTTGCCATCCAGCGTGCAGAGCCTGACTCTTGGAGCGCAATTCAACCAAAGCTTACACACAGTGACTCTTCCAAGCAGCTTGCAGAGCCTGTCTCTTGGCAAGCATTTCGACCAGAGCTTACAGGGGGTGACCCTGCCATGCAGCCTGAAGAGCCTGACTTTTGGTGCGCACTTTGACCAGAGCTTGCAGGAAGTTATTTTGCCAAACAGCTTACAGTCCTTGACTTTCGGTGAGTGCTTTGACCACAGCCTGCAGGGTGTGATTCTGCCAAGCAGCTTGCGGAGCCTCACTTTTGGTTCGCGATTTAATCAACCATTGCAAGGAGTGACATTGCCGGATGGCTTGCAGCACTTAGCTTTCGGAATGCTTTTTAACCAACGCTTGCAAGGGATAGCGTTTCCAGCGGGCTTGCAGAGTCTTGCTTTTGGGGACAACTTCTCCCACAGCTTGCAGGGGGTGACTCTGCCATGCAACTTGCAGAGTCTTACATTCGGCCAGAGCTTCAACCAAGGCTTGACTGGCTTGACTTTTACGACCCTCGAAACCCTCAGGTTCGGGGATCGCTTCAACAAGAGCTTGCAGGGTGTGGCTCTGCCCCGTCTGCGCAGCCTCAGCGTGGGCAACTTGAACCAATGCTTGACAGGTGTGACAATGCCTTGTCTGCAGAGCCTGACTTTCGGAAAGTATTTCAACCTGACGCACCAAGAATCGGGACTGGCCCTGCCCAGCGTGCAGAGCCTTCACTTTTGTGCCTCGGCCAATCGCAGCTTGCAGGGCATCAGTCTGCCAGGCAGCTTGCAGAGCCTGATACTCGGCGGGAAGTTTGACCAGAGTCTGCAAGACGTGACTTGGCCAAGCACCCTGAAGAGCCTGACCTTTGGCGATCAGTTTAACCAAAGCCTCAGGGAAGTAACTCTGCCATGTAGCCTGCAGAGCCTGACCTTCGGCAAGCATTTCAATCAGAGTTTGTACAGAGTGCATCTGCCCAGCACGCTGCACAGCCTGACATTTGGCCACTGGTTTAACCAATGCTTGCAGGAAGTGAATCTGCCAAAGAGCTTGCGATGCTTGACTTTCGGCGACGGGTTCGACCAACCCTTGCAGGGAGTTGATCTGCCAAGTTGCTTGCAAAGCTTGACTTTCGGGCGTAGCTTCAACCGAAGTTTCAAAGATGTGGCTTTGCCTGACACTTTGCAGAGCTTGGCTTTCGGTGATCACTTCAACCAACGCCTGGAGCATTTGCCCCTGCACTTGGAGTCTTTGTCTCTGGGTGCGAACTTCAACCGAGGCCTGCAGGGAGTGACCTTGGACAACTTACTGCACCTGTCTTTGGTCATCTTCGAGAGATGGCATCTGGGGGCTACTCCCAGGTTGCAGAGTTTCCAAGCACAAAACCTGGCCTTGGACCTGGATTGACCGGGTGCCAAGCAACCTAAGCAGCCCATAGTGCACCTGCCCCGGCAAACCGAAGCCACGCAAAACAAGTTCCTCGCCCAGCTTGGCGCCATTTTGCACGCGCCCACTTCAGTGGATCGCGTCGATTCCTCAAGCTGCTTGAGCTGCAGCAAAGTCGATTGCCTGAAAGTGGCCATGGCTTCCAATCTTGGGCCTTTTCAGGTATGGGATTCGGAGATAGGCTTGCAAGGCAGCAATTCTGTGGCACACCTTATCTCAACTCACGCCTGAAAAGCAGCTTGATCCCAGGCTTCAAGATGCTCGGCCACCTTTCGGGGCCCTGGATTCCCACTTAAGTCCACATACTTCTACCTCACCAGGTAAGGGCTATTGAACCGGAGCGCCTGGCGGACAGGGAGTTTCTTTTTCGAGCATACAGGCAAAAAATGTGCTTGCCATCTGCGTCTTTGCGGCTTTTGCCGGCACTCTGACGTGTGAAAAGTGGGGATCTCTGTATGGTCTCACATGAAGTCAGGGTCCCCCAAGGGCGCTCAAGCACCCAAAGGCAGGCATGACTTCCGCATGTTGGTGTTGCAACCTGACCTGCGCTCAAGCAGCCTGAAAGAAATATGTCCCACATCGAGTTCAATTTTAAAATCTCGCAAATCAATCAATCAATCAATCAATCAATCAATCAATCAATCAATCAATCAATCAATCAATCAATCAATCAATCAATCAATCAATCAATCAATCAATCAATCAATCAATCAATCAATCAATCAATCAATCAATCAATCAATCAATCAATCACGATTCTTACTTCACGAAACCTCAAAATTAAAATCCTTTTAACGTTAACGTCCGCAAATCTGGCCTTGGCTTTGCAGCTTTGCAGCTTGCAACCAGGGAGAGGATTCAGGTGGGCTGGCTTACTAGCGAGAGAGCAAACGGCCCATGCCGGTATCTCACAACCGGCTGGAAGACAAAGTAGTTCATGATTGCGCCCAACTGAGCCCTTGCAGGCCACACAACTGCTGATGTACGTGTCGGGGATTAGAGGGCAAATCACGAACTATGTCACTTGTCACCCTATCGTTTTATGAGCCCTTTCAGTCTCTGTTCCTCCACCCAACTGTTGTGGGCTTTTGGGAGCATGCTAGGGGGCGCAACCTGTCATTCAAGGGGTTCGAAACACACGCAATTGCCAGGTCTGTTTGGGAGCACAGAGTATTGTCCGTGGCTCCTTAGGACCCGCCGCTCCAAGCCAAGCCCCAACTCACTGATTGTTTCTGAAGACACAAAGCTACACGCCTATGGCCTATCTAGTGGCCGAACAACGCTTAATTATCTACTAGCAGTGTACACCATTTGTTTGGTTTTGGAGTATAGCAAACTAAGGAGCCTCATCCCTTAAGGCCTTGGGTCAATACAGCCATAGAGCCTTGCAGATCGGCTAGGGTTCCCTGATTGGCACTCGCAAGCATCCTTAGGCCGGCTTCACGTTGGGATGCTGAATCAGGCGCAGCAGGCCATGTGCGCTCTCGGTGCATCCGTTCAGTTGCTCAGCAGTGAGTGCTTTGGACCCTGCAGGGTCATGCAGAGGTAGGTCTGCAGATTGGGCCTTAAGTGCGTGCCCATGGTTGAATAACCGTTAACATTGAATTCTATCTACTCTCACCATTGTGTAAAACACTGGACTTTCCTGTTGGCTACTTGCAACATGTGGGATATCCATTTTGAAAGTGGTTGTGTGGGCAAAGCATGGATATGAGGCTGAACTGAACACCCGGTGGACAAGCATTCATTCATGCCCGTTTGCCCTTGGTGTTGCTTGTTTCTGTAAACAACACACACGAGGCAATCAGGGCTTCTGGCAGAAATGACTAGGTCCCGTCGCGACATCATGTTCTGCCTTTTACTCTCGATGATGTAGTACAGCAATGTAGGAGGCCAATTATTTCGAGACATGCACAGCTGCACTGGCGCACCGTTCCGAGTTGTCAGAGCACTCCTGGTCGGCCTCCCTTCCAGCAACATCCTGAAATGATGGGCTTGCTTCTGAAATGGTTGCTCACATCCTGAAATGATGGGCTTGAACAATATATATATATATATATTGGTTGGTTCGCCGTTCCAAGGATCTTTCAGCCCAGCAGGCGAGATTCTGTCCATGGCTGTGAACAGCGACGGGCGCAGCGCCACGCTGTCCGCCCCCAACGGCCTGGCCCAGGAGGAGGCGCCGACCGCGCCGCGAGCTGGAAGTGAGCGGGCTGTGAACCTCTCGTGGTTTTGGTGCGAGGTTTCCTGGGTCCCCCTGTAGTGCCCTTTTACCGTTTCGTTTTTGGGGTGGTACCAACTTGTTCAAACCTCTCTACTGGAGGACCTAGTTTATAACCTCTGGGCGTTGAAAAAGGGATACTCCCCCAGCCGCTCTCCAGCCACATGTTGCCGGAGAGCAACTGACCTCCCAACGCACATGTCAGGAAACTGGTACAACACTTATCATTTGGAGAGGTCCTCAGTCACGCCTGCCGGACTGGAGGTCCCGTGAGAAGCCATGAATGGAGCTTGGTTTGGCTGTGGCTGTGTGCCAAGTAGCAACAAAGTTCTTGAGTTTTTCCAGAGAGAAATCCAAACAGGATGGGTAATTAAAAACGCGGCGCTCTTTTGGCACCGGAAGAATTCTCATGTCCGGGGGAGTTCCGCCGGAGGACCACCAAGTTCCAAAGCTGTTTGCTAGCTAAGGGTACAAGGACATAGGATGCCTCTCTGGGCTTGGGGTTGGAGGACATCCTGACGGCATTTTTGTTCACTGATTGTCGTGCTGAGAAGCCAAGCATGTTTGCATGTTTGGTAGAGTTCTTTTTGGCTACATGTCCTTCAGGATAGCAGACTCGTTCTTGCACGCATGAAGAAGGTACTTGTAGGACGTCATTTGCCTCCTGGAGGACAACTGGGGAAAAAGACGTGCCAACTGTGTGGTTTGCTTAACCCTGCGCTGCTTTTCGTTTGCACCTTCGCAGACCGTCCGTAGTTCGTGCAACAACTAAGTCAATCGTCCGTTGACCAGCAAAAGAACCCCCTTGTTGATGTTTGGAGGTTGCTGTGCCCTTGTCTTTGCACTTTCAATCAACCATGTTGCTTCTCCGCATCCTTTTCATGGACCGCAATGTGCATCTTCCCTGGCGCACCTATCGTGAGTGGAAGCGATTTCAGGCTCCCATCCTCACTCCAGACCAGCGCCATGTTGTCTTATCTCGGGAGGTTGCTTGAAACCACGTCGACGGATTGTTCAAGCAAACGTGATGAGCATGTGGGTGTGTTGTGAGATTGGACAAGGACCTAGGAAAACGACTTGAGGCCAATGTCCCACGTTGCTTGGGGGGCAGGGTCTTTTGTGGACTTGAAGCATGCCCAAGCACACTGGAGGTGACGTTCAGCGACGAGTTTGGGTGATTCGGGGGCGAACCGTGGATATTCCATCTATGGAGTGTTTGTGGGTCTATTGTCCAATGCACCAGCACCCTGCCAGGGCTTTGCAGTTCCTTTTCGGGGCAAATCGACCGCTTACGAGCTGACTGTTCATGTTGAAGCTGATGTCGTCAAGTACGAGAAGTCGCCATTGGTTCCCGCTCGACGCTCCACTGGCCCCCTGTTGCACTGGGATACTTTTGACCTAGTGAGAAACTCTGCAAGGCATCGAACTGAAACAGGGGCAAAAAGCGCAAAGAGGAGGTCTCACAAAAAAGGGCTTTGGGGTTCCTTTCCCGAGTTTTGCTCGGCCGCAGATGCTGCGGGCTGGTGTTCCGCCAGACTTTGTGGAGCCGGGGCCTCGGATGAAGTCGCGAGAGGCCAAGACCTGCAACTGGAAGAAACATTCACGGCCAAAATGGGGGGTCTTCCTTTGGTTTCCCTTTGAACAATAACCACACAACTGGTACCCTCAAAAAAGCACACCCACATATGCCTAGATCACCAGACTTGTTTGGAAGATGTCCCTAATATTTTGAAGCGATGGTAGACTCGTTTTGGCAGATCCAGTTTTGTTTCTTCTTCTTTTTTGCGGGGGGTTTGCTAGCCCCGTTGTTGTTTTTGTTTATCCGGTTGAGAAGTTGATTGGTTGGTGGGTTGGTCGGTGGGTTGGTTGGTTGGTCGGCTAGGTGGCTGGCTGGCTGGCTGGCTGGCTGGCTGGCTGGCTGGCTGGCTGACTCATTGGTTTGTTGGTTGGTTGGTTGGTTGGTTGGTTGGTTGGTTGGTTGGTTGGTTGGTTGGTTGGTTGGTTGGTTGGTTGGTTGGTTGGTTGGTTTGTCGGCTAGGGGGGCACATCCCCAGCGTCCCCAATTACTTAACGTCAACACTGTATTACCTGTGATTTGGTGGCAGTCGCGCGTAACCGGCAGCCTCCCCAGCATCACCGGCCTCACTCGGACTGTATATAGTCTGGCCAGTAGTGTATGAGGGCATCGCAGGGTTTCGGTTAGTCTTCGGGTAAGTAGGCCGCCGCTTGGAATTCGGCGTGCCAAGTTTGAGCAGTGTTCACAAGGTTCGCTCAAGTCGGATTTGCATCCCGAACAGTTTGGTGGCTCAAGCATCAGTGCCAGCATCAGTGCCAATAAAATATGTGGGGGGTTGTTGTTGGTTGCTCCAGAAGTCCTACACGGTTTTTTGCAGTTTTGACTCGCAAGATTTTGCGCAAGTTCCGCGCAAGTGTTTCGCCAGCGGATGCGCAAGGCCGAGGTGGTTTCATGACTGGTTACGCTCCGGGCCAGTTTGCCATAGTGTGTTTTCCGCCCTCCCTGCTGCTATGCTGCCAGCTGCTATGCTTCTTTGGCTCCTGCCTGTTTTCCTTCTCTTCCTTGCTCTTTCCTTCCCTGCTTCCCTCCCCGCCTGTTTTTTCGCCGTCCTGCTTTCTTGTTTGCTGTCCCTGCTGCATGCTGAGCTTTCAGGCGCGCATGCTTACACAGTCACACAACTTCTGAGAAAACCGCCGCTTGGAGTTCAACACATTGGAGTGTAGGATGAGAGCGGGAGCACCGGCTTTCTCGCCATCGGCTTTGATTTGATGGCAGTTCCGAGTTGCGCAGGGCTGGTTTGGAGTGAGTGTTGGGCTTGAGGTCTTAATGAGGGCGGGTCTTGGCTTTGTTTGGGGTTCGCTGATATCCAGGATGCTGTTGGGAGGGTTTAAGGTTGACTAGGGATGCTGCTTCGCAAGTTTTGGGCTAGGTTTGGTTGGTTGGAGCAACGCCCCACAACCAATCTCAGACCAGCCCAAAAATTGCATATCCGCGCCCTGAGGCAGCCCCAGCCCGGTTTGGCCCGGATTTTGGGTCAGGTTTTGGTTGGAACCTGTTCCGCCTGAAAATGATGTTTCCCAGGTGCCACGGCACCGGCACGGCGCTGGGGGATCCCATCGAGGCGCGCGTTGATCCACTCCCACGTGCAGTGGGGAAGTGCGAGCGGAGTTGCTTGCAGAGCGCAAATTCACGACGTGAGGTTTTGGTCAAACCATCCAGTAGTCCTTGGGAGGGACATTGAGGACTCCCTGAATTCACCCCTCAAAATTCAAGATGGCTCTCAAATGACTCGTGTTACGGGAGCCGCGGAAACCACAATATGATTGTGTCCAGAGCCTTCACCCAATAGAAAAATGTGTGTGTGTGTGTGTTTCTATGGTGTCCTTTATGTGGTGGGTGCACGCAGGATGAGAAGCCAGACCTGGATAACCTTCAAATTTGTCACGAATGGCATTCCCGTTTGCTCGTGGCTGGAGACCCGGATTGCTTGTGTGTTCTGATTGGAATTTGCCTTACGTGGATAGACACTTAAGGGTTACCAGGTGAAGTCGTGCAAAGTGATTTCCACACGTCAGGTTCTTCCTTGTTGCCCTTGGAATCCGGAACAGACGGACTAGCTCCGAAGTTGTTTTAACCGCATTTCAGTTCCATATATGAATCAAGGGGAATGAGGGGCGAGGGGGCGAGGCGAAAACAATATGGGCCAATTTAGAGCCGAGTGGCTCTGTTGTGAGGCGTTTTATGTTTTCTTTTTGTCCGAGACTTGGTGCTGACAACCAAGAGTTAAGCGCGAGCACGCCTTCAGGGTCGCTTCTTTGGCCTTTAGATGGCCAAAACATGATGGGGTACACTGGTGACGGGCTTCCTTTAACTACCTTGGACCACATGTCTGTTTGTGTGAGGGTCTTTGGCTGTTTCAGCTTGCACATATCCCCTTTCCTCTTTGCGATGCCAGGTGGGCGCTCTGTCGCGAGTGCTGAAGTACGCGACTGGCCCTCGGAGAGTTTGATAGCCTGTTTCATCGTTGTTTTCTTTGGATGCGTCACAACAATTCGGCGGGCACCGAGTCAAGTTCCTCCACATATGGTTGGGCAGGGTCGACTGCGGCTTGGCTTGCTTCAGCTGTGGTGTGCAGGCCTTGCTATGTAAATAGGTGCTCTGGCCATCAACTTGTGAACAACTTAGTGTTTGGCTTGTTCAGCTGATGTGTGCGCATGTTGTCTGGTTTGGCGTTCAACTCTAGGTGAGGTCAGGTGAATTGGAGACAGAAAAAGGCAGGCTAAAATATGGGTTGCTCCTTTACTGAGGGTACCCCCGTTTGGTTGGTTTCAAAGGGAAGCCAAAGGAAGACTCACTATTTGGGGGTCCCCTATTGAGACAAACTACTATTGCAGGCGCCTTGATTCCCGGGACTCCACTTGCTGGCCGCTTCCTACCGGCCATTCTTGCAGCCTTGAGCCTCTTTCTCGGATTCCCTAGACAAAACAGCAGGCAAGCAAGCCGCATTTAATCGGCCAATTTCAAGGGTTCCCAACTTGTGCTACTTGGGCCCAAAGGACCACACACAACTTGTTTCTCCGCCCTTACTTGTTTTTTTTTTTTTTCCGGTCCGGAATGGGTTCCCCGGCGGTCACCCTCGTTTTGGTTGTGAGCCACTGGCTGCTCCACGCCGCTCCGGGGAAGAATCTCCGGAGGCTTCTGAGCTCCACCAAGAGCTGCTGCGGCCACGCGGAGGCCGCGGCCGGGGCGCGGCGCCCGAGACGCGCGTCCACGGGGCGGAGGTCGGCCTTGTGGGTGTCACAAAAGGGAAACCAAAAACAAAAGGGAAACCAAAAACCAAAAACCAAAAACCAAAACGAGTGGTCCTTGTTCAGTGGTTCTTGTTAAGGGACACCCTGTAGCGGTTATTAAATTGGAAAGCCAAAACGATACCACCCTTTGTTGGGCCTGCAATTTCGACCCTGAGGTCAAGTACCTGAGAGTGTGCCTTTGACCCCTGAGAAGGGTCCCTCGTGGGCGAAAGTTGATGACTTTGATCTGGAATATGTCTCACGTTCATGCATAGACTGCGGTGACAACTGTGGGTGTTTCCTCTTTCCAGTTTACCGTTGTCCTCAATGTCTTAAAATTGAGCAGAAATTATCAATCCCAGACTATCTATGCACAGGCGATTGCAATGGGCCTCTCAAATGGCCCATTTTGCTGAGCACCAGTGTCGGCGACGAGAACCACTGCTGTTTGCAGACATCTTCTTTCTAAGTCCTTAAAACTCCAAACCCCATACATGAACATTGTGACAAGCGACAAGTAAGGATGCTCATCATTCTGCCATGTCAAAGCCTCCCTCCTCCATGTGGCTATGGAATTTCAATCAGGCAGCCCCTGAAAAGTGGTTGGTGGACATGAATCCCCACCCACATTCCACCTGAGCGGCGAAAAAAAAACAATTTAGATGAAACTGGAAATTACTCTTGCAGTCGGTAAGCGTTTTTGCGAGATTCGTAAGCGATCGGAAGGTCCTGCGTAAGCTGCATGCATGAGTCACTCGTCGAAAGCTTTGCGTAAGCTCTGTTTGTCAGACCCGTTTTTCGTTCAGATTGTTTGGTAGAAGTTGCTTTTTGGTCCGCGTAATGCTTTTAGGCGTTAAAATGGGGTCAGATTGCTGGAATGGGTTCTTTCGAGCAACTTTCAGTGAACAACTTTTTCAGGCTCAGACAACTGCTGTTTGACCGCTGGGTTGCTTGTGCAAACCTTTTGCATAATGTTCCACGCACAGCGCGTTGGCCAGCTTGAACAAAAAAGCTCGCGTTTGGAAAACAACTTTTCGAGCCCCGAACATTTTGTTTTGGCACCTCCGTTGCGCGGGCTTGGAAAACAACATGTTGAGCCCCGGGCTTGTTTTGCTGCGGCTTTGCCTTCTCACCTTTGGGCCTTGGGATTGGAAAGCACAAAAAACTGTTCGAGCCCCGAAAGTTTTTCCGTTTGGCCCTCCAGCATCATTGCTGAGCCTGTGCAGCATTCCATCTGCAAGCTGTTGTTCTGCCGTGCTGGCACCTCTTGCTCGCAGCGCCCGTGCGCTGTCTGCAAAGTTTTCTTGAGCTGTTGCCCCTCTCTGGCCGTGAAAGCTTGAACACCGGCTTCGGGCAGCAACATCAGGATCACATGGCGTAGTGGTATCGTACCCGCTTCGCGGCCCGGGTTCAATCCCTAGCGTGCCCACGTCAATGCTGAGCTTGCGCAGCAAAGCCTTTCCATGCAAGCTGTCGCTCTGTCATGCTGGCGCCTTGCTCGTGGTGGACCCGCGCAGAAAACAACTTTTCGGGTCCCGAAAGTTTTTCCCTCCATGTCACTGCTGAGCCTGTGCAGCAAAGCCTTTGCGCCTTTCCAGGCAAGTTGTTGCTCTGTCCTGCTGGCGCCTTTTGCTCGCAGAGGTTCCGTGCGCTTTCTGCAGAAAACAACTTTTCGTGCCCTGAAAGTTTGTTTTCAGCTCTTGGCCCTTCATTGTCTTGCTGGGCCTGCGCAGCAGCCTTTCCATCTGCAAGCTGTTGTAGCGCCTCTTGCTCACGGGGGATCAGGCACGAGCAACTTGTCGTAAGCTATGCGTAAGCTCCATCTTCGAAAAATAGCAAACGTAAGCGACCTTTCGGTTGGCGGAAGCTTTCCGGAAGCGATTGCGGAAGCTGGAGTAATTTGCTTTACGGGTAACAGGGGTTTTTTTCACTGCTCACCTCTATCCCCACATTCCCCACCCAAATTCCCCCCAAAGATTTTTGCGACCCACTAAAATTCACCCCCCAACTGCTTCCCTCTGAGGCGCTGGGCTTGGCACGGCTGGCCAGTTGTCAGCAGTGCACTCAACACCTGCAGGCAGGGCCTCGGAGCCCGGAGCTCGGAGCTCGGGCCCGGGGAAGGAGCGCTGCTTGTGGTGCTTTTGTTCCTAGGTCCCCCCGTAGTGCCCGTTGCCTCCTTGTTTTGGGGGGGAGGGTTCCCCTACTAAAATCGCCTACAGAAAAGGGGTACCCTTATTCTAACCTCCAAAACTGGAGGACCTAGTGTTGGTTCCATGAGGAAAAACGCAGGGAAGCTGAGGGGGTCCAAAGAGAGATCAATGAGAGATCAGCCATTTTGGTCGCTTCAGTCGGAGACAAAGCCAGTTTGGATGTCCCCCACTCCCTTCACAAATGATCGAGGTGGGTGGGAGACTTCGCCAAGTGTCCATTTCTTGGCTATTCCCCCTGTTGGGAACACTAACAGTTGCAATCGGGGACAGTAACCCCACCCACTTTAGGTTTGGACGTGGGACCCTTCCGAGGTTGTTCCCCTGTTTTTCAGTAAGATCCCTTGCTCTCAGCTTGCCGTTTGCGACCTGTTGTGCAGGTACTGAATCCTCACATCAGCACCAACCTTCAGCAGCTTGGCAGCTTGAGGGGCCAGTCGCTTTCATTAGCTGTTTGTGTTTGGTGTCTCAGGCGTCTCCTTTCAAAAGGTGTCAGTCTAACTGGCCCATCAGCGGGGGGAGGCTCTTATGCCATGATGAAGGTTCCTTTTTCAGGGAGCCTTTGTTGTGAAGTCGGCACTATTGTCATTCCCCCAGCAACACGGGCCGTGGTAGGATTGGCATGCTGGTTTGGTATTGGTGAAGCCGTCCTTTCGCCAAAGTTTGTGGGGCTTACCGGTTCAATATGACATTTTCCCAAGACTGATTTAGTTGTTGCTCCGTGTTGGCATCTGTTTTTACCGGACCGCGGAGCTTGCTCACATGTTGTATGAATCCACACATCAATACCCAGATGCACAGCCAACACAAAGAGGGGCCTAGATGACAGGAACAACTGGGTATATTTGCTCTAGCGCGTGAGGGAAGTGTGCCAGCCCTGTGATAGACTGTGAGAAGCTCTCCGCACTACTTGTTGGATGGCGCCCAGGGTTTGGCAGAACCGGACACTATGCACGTAAGGGTTTACATATGAGTGTTTATATATATACATATATAATATGTATATATATATATATTTACATACTACACTCATATTTACAATATTCTGCATTGAAACGCATCTATGTACTCACTAGAGTTATTGGCCGAGATCCACAACATAAGCTGGATGATTTTGACTTCCTTTAGACTTGCAAGGTTTACTTGGGCGAAAACGGTAGCGACATCAAGGCCACCAGGGGTTGATTCCCCATTCTTTTCAGCCATCGTTCTTTTCAAAACCCAGCCACTTCCCCAGGGTTTTGGGTTTTCTAGAAAGATCCGGATCCCTGGGTTCAGAATGGACATGGAAGTTACCCCTGCGACACTTGTGAAGCTTCATGTCTCCCACTCCGAGGTTCCTCACGGAGGTGGCCCGCACGCCCAAAGCCTTCGCTTTCGGGGTCTCGGCCTTTGGCTTCGGAGGCGAGGCCCCAAGACCGAGCTGTCTCGAACTCCAAAGCGGCCGTGGGTCAAAACCAATGGTATCCCATTTTGGTAGGTGCACCACCCATTTTAGAGCCTATTTTAGTGAGGATTGGGATGACCCATGGCCATGTGCATTGATTCTGGCCACCTGGATCGAAGCCATGTTCAGGGATACCTCAACTTAGGCGCTGCGAGTGAACTGGGCGATTTGCTCGCCTTCTGTGGTTCAGCAGTGCCTTGCCAGCGGTCCTAGCCCTATGTGCCCAACAACTCAGCTCCGGTGGCTTTGTCTCAAGAGGCCTCCCGCATCTTCCCCAGTGGGTGAAGCTTTCTTGGGCGTGATGCGGGGATTGGGCAAATGATTTCCGTTTGGTGGCTCTTTGAAACCAAACAACGGGGAAGGGGTCCCAAAAGACGAAACTCCTTCCCAATCGGGCACCAGGACTATAGCGTTGCCTTGCACCCAAATAGTTAAGTTTGGAAAGACCAACTAAGGGGTCCACGACCTACGCAATCCATCTACTAGGTTCGCTGCACCCTTTTCTGGCGGTTTCAAAATAACCTTCAATCCAATCCCACTTTTTTAATCCTGCCCCCCCTCCTATTTATAGGTACATTTGTTCGATCAACAGTTGTTAATAGGGTCCGAGGGGAGGTTTCCACTACGCTCTTCGTCCAAATGGGGCCCATCCTTTGAAATTCGGGCGCGTCTAAAAGGCAATCTGCTGAGAAAAGAGTTGTAAGTCTATCTTTGTTGGCAACCAACAAGGTGATGTTGACACCCCCAAATAAGAGTTTTAGTTCCCCCCGTTTTTCTTCGTGAGACACCATGACTCAGGGTCAGCTCATGGGAGTGTCAGACCATCAGTGAACATTCCGCTTGAGCGCAGCTGCCAGGCATCCAACAATTGTCCGAAGCCCGGGGAACATGGTGAGAAAACCCTCGGAACCAGCCCATGGTTGGCAGCGATAGGTGGTCCCGCTAGGTCATGTAATCATACATGGCACTGGTTTCACTCTGGTTCCAATCAATTGCCTCCTTGTTGCCCAAAACTGGAGAACCTTGACCATCATTGGACCAGAAAGCGAGTCTGATTGGGCCCCCAGGTATAGCAAGCCCATAAGGTGTGTCTGGGGGAACGGGACGTCCTCGAAGGCACCAACGCTCACGTGGTCCTGCGCCCGCACCGTTCGCAGCGTCCCAAGTGGCACCGGCTGGGATGGTATACAGACCGCCCCAAGCACAGTTGTTGCGTTCATTTCCTTACAGTATAGTGGAGGTTCTAGCAGCCTGAGGTCTGCCAGTTTGTAGAAACAAGCAACAACAGATGACTGTTTTTCTACCTGTGCAAGTTTGAGCAAGTTCCAGGTTGACATCCTTCCAAAGGAAATGGACAGGAGGCAGTGCACTCTCACACCGCGCTGGGGTTGGTTGCTCTTCGCTTTGACGGTTCGCTTCGTCTTCACCTTGTCATGTAGACTTTTCGACAATGACTGCTTCCTGCTCCTCCTATTGCCAAGTCGTAGTTGTTTAGATATCGACCCCGAAGCATATCCTGACGAGGGTTGAAGATTCCTGTCGACAAGTATGCGTGAGAAAAGGGGTCAGAAGATTGATTTCCTATACAAGTGCTCACCGCAAGTGGACTATGGAATGGTGCGGCTTGACGCCGGTTACCGTTTGGCGTTGGTTGCCATCTCGAGTTTCAATGTCCGATGGGCCCATGGTCTTGGCTTGCCGAAGCTGAGACTCGGCAAGACGGCGCCATTCTGTAGGAGTTTGCCAATGGCCATTTCACCTTTCCTTTGACAAATATGAATCTCCCGCATTGAGCCAGAATGGGCACTTCTCAAGTTCTGACCTTGGCTCTTGACCAGTCAGTCTGAGTCAGTCATGCTTTCTTGTTTCAGCCACTTCTGTGTTTTGTGCACGAAGTGGGCTGTTTTAATGGATCCTTGCGAAGGGACGCCTTTGTAGTGGCAAGAACCCTCTACGAAGGACCTATGACTTTCCCCTATCCCCTCTAAGATAGGCGGGAGGGGATAAACCCTTCATCCATCCAACTGGTGCGAAGTGGATTTGGTCCCATCGGTTGAAGAAAGCTCAAGGCCCCCAATGACGAAAGTCGGATGAAACCCTGTTGATACCGGGATTATCCACCTAGCTAGTGCAATTTGGTTCATTCAAGGTAGACAAGCGTTGCTCCAAATCGCTGAACGATTTGGGTATCCAGGAACAGGAGTTCTTGCCAGAGTGTCTGTCCGTCAGGACCAACTGGGTCGCTTGCTCCTGTTCAATGGAGAGAGACGGGGTCCCTTAAACAGGTGTCATCGTTTTCACTATTTCTGTGGGTTATCAAAAGTAGCTGGCTATCAAAGACAAGTGGGGGTCTTTTCCCTCCAACCTACCACTTAAGGGTGACTTTGATGGTGAATACAGGAGCCAGTTAAAGGACTTATTTTTGTCCAGTCAACAGATCGCCTTTACCAGCGTGTTCTGAGGATCGCCTTTACAGCAGGGTTTTGGGATATTGGAACAGGCAACCCTGGGCTTCCAACTCTAGGCCGCGACCATTGGGCACCCGCCCGACTTTCCAGCGACGACCCTTCCTTTGGCAGGCGCTTGGGGAACGGAATCAACAGGTGCATGATTCTGTCCATCCGCAATACTATCCGGGTATTGGTTGTGGATGGGCCCATATTTTTTTTTCGGATTTTGTTGAGTACCAGCTTCGGGCAAGCAGTTTTTACTGAGTTTGGGGTATCAGGTACACCAATAGTCCCCTACAGGTTTGCGGTAGTTGTCGTTCAGATGAAAGGTTGGCAGAAATTGACAGAAATGATGTGTCAGATTCGCAGAACCACCGCGAACAACATCGGCAACTCACTACGGCCCATACCAGGACCATCCGCAAGCCTCAGGGACAGCTGCAACACGTGCACTATGCGCGTGTGTGTGTGTGTGTGTGTGGGTGGGTGTGGGTGTGTTGTGTGTGCGTGTGGTGTGTGTGCGTGTGTGGTGTTTGCTTTTTGGGGGCCCCCAAAATGGCTGGGTTTCCTCTGAACACTACCGAACAGTAGGTACCAAGCCTCAAACAAGACGAACCCATTTCTTTGCAGTGCCAACCTAGTTTCGCCTATGGCATGGGTATAGCATGGGTAAACCAAGCGTTGCAAGCCTCGCTTCGACCCTGCAGGCTGCACCGGATGTACTGGCCGGGAAGCTCTACGGAGTTCAATGGAGGAGACAGGTGCGCGACCGCGGGGATCCGGGGAGCCGGGCAGGGTGTTTTTAAAGGGTGCTGCTTGTGCGTTTGTCCCTTTCTGGTCTCTCTTTCCAATCCCAAATCTGGTCTGTTCAAGACCCACGTCCTGTCCCAGATACGCTTCCACTAGTCTAGACAACAGTTCTGGAACGATGGGATCAGAAGAGCACGCTCGAGCTAGATCCAACACCTGGATCCGTGGTCCGTGCTTTTGCGGGGACTGTGGTTGAACCTTCTACTATAGCATCATCAATCATTAGAATGGGGTGGTGAGATACGTTTAAATCACATTTCGTCGTGATTAGAAGAGTATACTATTAGAAGTGATTTGAACCTTGATATGATTGACACGCTTTGCTACAACTCGGGGGTGGTTGGCGAATGCTGCAGTAATTCAGCCAAGACATGCTCACACCCAAGAAACTCTGAGAGGCCACATGGCACATGACCTCCATTGCTGTGACTCTATCACCTCGCACACTTGCCATTTGGGATTCGGGCATTTGTCGTACAATTGTCCAGCCAAGGTTTCTTCGCCGATTTGCAAACTTGAAACCAGCTTTGGGTGGAACGTTCTCGCTTGAACCCTTATTCAAAGTAATACTCCGCTGCAAAATCAAATGAAACTCAAACAAGGGTTCCCGCAGAGTCCACGGATGTTGATTCTTTGAATATTAATTTATGGTTCCATGTACTGTAGGTCCTGCAACTTAGTTAGATTGTAGGCGTAAGCTATTCATGGGAGTTTCGCAATTTTATTTAATTAAGGGCCCTTTGGCCCTTTGGTGGACATCATTCAGGTGGGGTTCATCTCCAATTTGAACGGGATTCCCCATGAAGATTCATGGCCATTCTGCCCTTCTTCCATTTGCGAAAGAACATGGTGCGTTTTCCTCCTTGTTGATTTCACAGGGACATTATTACTGGATTTTGTTCCCAGTGACTTACCCCGGGTCCCTTGAAGAGGAAACCAATCTTCCAGGTACCCTCCCAGAGGTGCCATGTTAGTGGAAGGGAGGGCAACCACATGGAAGTCGTCTTACCAACAACCCTGGAGGAGCCTTCCCTAGGGGCTTACTGCTTCGCAGGCCGCGCAGCCCACTCTGCCGGCGGAGCAGACTGTGAAGGCGGCTGATTTTGTTTTTGCGGCCCGGGGCAAGGGGTCCCCATCACGGTCCCAGCTTACTCAGTTGAATGGTGACTTGGATTCGTGGTTGCATTTGAACCCCTGGGTCTTGGGGAAATGGGCAACCACCTCCAAACAAATCCAACCCACTGGAGGGAAGCTGATATTGCCTGTGTCCTGGTGTTCATGTTGGTGTCATGCATTGTCCATGAGTCAAGGGGGATGGCTGAACTCTTGCGGTGCTATAGGTCCTGAGAGGAGCACATTGTTCTTTGCTCTCGGTGTCGCATTGTTCTGTTTGGGCAGTATGCCTTTGGCAGCTGAAGATTACACATCTCACGCGATCTTGGATCAGTGAGCAAACATAGTAAACAAATCAGTGATTGCTCATTCTGCCAAACAGGAAGGGGGTGCAATAACTCTGAACAATCTGCAACGAGATACTTGTCTGATAAAGTCTGGCGAACCCACACAGCTGAAGTCAGGCTTGGCCAACTCAAGGAAAGCCTTACCACCTTGAATATTAGTATTGGAAGAAAGGGAATGTATTTGTTAGCTTGGTTTTCCCGGACCTTCAACAACACAGCCCTTCTTGATTTGCCTCTTGGTTTCAAAATGAGGCTCAGCCATTGTCCTGCTTTGTTCAGGTCCCGGAAGGCGAAGGTGAAGTCAGATGAGTCAAACAGCACATTTGGATGTTGGCGTACGGCAGCGACCCAGCTTTCACCCAGTAGATTCAGTGGGGCAACTGCAGGTGCAATTTTATATGGACAGAAACCTCAATGCTGAGGGTTTTAGCCTGGGAGCCTTCCGGGAGAATTGCCCGGTCATCGGGTGATCCAGCGCGCGCAAGGGTTAGCCAAGCAAGGGAATGTGTGCGTGTGTGCGTGCTGTGTTTTGAGGTTCTCCTTTTCAGCTTGGTCTGAAGGGAAACCCAAAGAAGAAATCACAATTCTCAAAAAAACCTATTTCGACACATACCCAACGAGCCAGGCCTTCTTGCCAGACCTTCCAGTGGAACTCCCAAGCGGAGTTGTGCAAGGCCCAATCACTTCGGATCTGACGCTTTGCGCCGCAGCTTGGTTAGACTTGAGCATGGGCTATTGGTTTTACCACCCCATGTATTACCAAACTCAGGCTGCCGAGAATCAGGGCAAATGCGGCCAAATGGAGTTGGATTGTCGGGCATCCTGACCAGACGGGGACGCTGAATCAAGCAGACTGGCGAGGTTTCCATATTTTTGAATGTTCCTTTGAAAGCTAGCCCAAAGAGGGGTTTTGGGCATACTCCTTTCATCCGTCTCCCTTTTGCCTCTATGATACTGTGCCACTTTGCCTCTACGATAATGTGGGTTTGTCTCAAAATAGGTGTTTACATGTGAAAATCAACATGGAACCCCCAAAAAAACAAAGGCAACTTCTCTTGGGAATTTGAGTCCCATTTCCGTTTGGGGTCCTTCCGATCTGCAGAGCAATGCCAAAAGGGAACCCGGGCATTCTACCGTTTTTTTAATATGGAGCTCGCGGAGGGAGAACGAGCTCACCATGATAAAGGTCCTTTACTTGGGAATCCCTCAATTCAGCTTTTGGAATGACGGTAACATTTGCAGCTACTTGGGGACCCTACCCAAGTAGAGGTGTCGGATCACGGCGACTCCTGTTGCAAGAGATCGCCCCACAACTTCCTGGAGGGCCGCGGCAACTCTGCAAATGGACTATCTGGTTTCCTCAGTTTCTTTCCAAGGAATCTCACCCAAAATAACATTTAGGAGACTTGTTGTTTGACCCTCAAAGGTAAGAATCCTATATGACGTCCTTTGGCTCCCCATATCATTGCAGAGCTTCACTCGTTCCCTGGACAGGCGCCCGATCTCGGGTCTCGGGCTCGATCGCTCCGGGCCGGGCTTATGTGGAGGCCTTGAGCCTGCCCTACTCATGGGTTGCCTTAGTGGGGATCGATTCATAGGGGGAATCTTATGATTCGTGTCTTCTGGGTTAATCCGGAGTTGACATTATCCCCCCGTGCATGTCGTGGGAACTGCATAGATTTGGCCAGTCGCTACCTTACGATGCGCTGTGCAACTGTGCTGAGTACCAACTGAGCTGCTTTCCTTCTCCATCTTCGCTGTCTTCTGGGTTGCAGACATAATTTCTAAGAGCAATTTTCAAAGCGGACCCCGGCGCCCCCCTTTTCTGATGGTTTTGGGACTCGGTGTCAGCTTCCCGCACCGTCAGGCAGCTCCTGTGGAGAGGACTCGACGCAATGCGAGCTTGGGCTCGTTGGTTCTTTGTCAACTTCCTTATTGATCTGCAGCCATTGAAACCTTTCTGAAAGATCACTCACAGCAAGTTGACCAAGCTCCAACTCGGGGTGATGGTCGGGCGCATTTGACATGTTGCGTTCGATTAGTGGACAACTCTGAAGCAAGCATTGCGCGTGCTTGTTTGCTGAGCATGGCGAAAGTTCAATCATATTATCGTGCCACAGGTAGAAGTCTGGGCTGCCCCTTCACGACCATTGGTTACATTTATTTGAGGACAATAAAGTTTAATAGACACAAGCCAAAGCTTGGTGGGGGGGCACGCTATGAAATCCACCAGATTCCTAGTTGGCCGCAACAGACATGCAAATCCTCGTCATTCCTCATTCCTTCAGCATGTTTGAGGTTATGAATGACAAGAGCCCAGGAACACGGCAGCTGTGCATATCATATCATCGAAAGGGCCAAGGGCCAAGAGTGGGTGTTGTTGCATCCTCGCGAAGTGCACCCCCGCTGACAGATGTCTTGTGTGTTTTCTTTATATATATATAATAATAATAAAAATAATTATAACAATAATAATAAAAATAATAACAATAATAGTAATAATAATAACAATAATAATAATAGTAATAATAACAATAACAATAACAATAATAATAATAATAATAATAATAATAATAATAATAATAACAATAACAATAATAATAATAATAATAATAATAATAATAATAATAATAATAATAATAATAATAATAATAATACTATAATAATAATAATAATAACAATAATAATAATATTAATAATAATAATAATAATAATACTAATAACAATAATAATAATGATAATGATAATGATGATGATAATGATGATGACGATGATAATAATAATAATGATGATAATAATAATAATAATAGTAATAATAATAATAATAATACTACTAATAATAGTAATAATAATTCTACGCGCACACACACACACACCTTGCTGATCCAGTCGCAGATTTGCGGTACAAGCATTTCAGAAAATAGGTGAGGAAAGGTTAACGATTGTTCTTCAAACTAGGGTTACTTGGCATAGCAAATTGGGATGGTCAACAATCTCTCCCGCCTCAGACAAACATAACTCCTTTGTCGACAAATCATCATTCATCTATTTTGAGACCCTGGGAGGATTCAACGCACCTGCTCTTTTTGAGGCCCGGCGGGCGAGGGGAGGGAGACATGACTGCTCGCTCCACCTTGTTCAATGACCCCTCTCAAGTTCCATGTTTTGTACTTGGCAGGTTCCTTACTCAATGTGGTTCTTGCCAACAAAGAGTTTCCTTTTTCTCTGAACGGTGCACTGCTGCCTTCCGGTGGAACGTTCACGGGTCACCGATACTTGTATGGGAGCCATTCCGGTTGGGACCCGACAAGCGCTTGTTTTTAGACAAAGTCATATTGGGAAACTGATGCGAAACACTTCATGACATCTTCATGACAACCGAAAGAGCCCTACATGGAACATGGCTTCAGCCAAAGGATGAACCATCCTGGACTCATGTGTCTTTCTTTTTGAGGCTACCGCTGTCTTCAGCGGTTTGAAGGGCCACTTCAAGAGGAAAGCAGCGGAGCACCCCGAGCGTCCCTTGATCCCAGCTGCAGGGCTCTGGGAGCCGAGAATGCCTCGGCTGCGTCGGAGGAGCTCTTTGAGCCAGGGGCCCGGATTGGCCAACTGGTCGCCTGAGGGCTCGCTGGGCTCAAGCGTGGCCAGATTTTTAGCTTCGGAAAGTGGTTCAACCAGTTTTGTGGGTGACCCACAAGTACCAGAACAGTGACAGAGACCTCCGGCGGGTTGATCGTTCTGTTCGGAGGAGGGTTCTCTCTGCACGCCCTTTGGTACAAACCAAAGAGACACTCTTAGTCTTCTTTGGGCCCGGGCAAAAACCTCCCTGGAGGGGAACTCATCATGGCGCTTTCCTGCAATACTTCCAGGTTTTTCCATCCTCCCCCCTCCCCCTAGAAAAACGGGTGAAAGTACGTAAAGCGTAAAGCACACTTTCTCATTTTCGTGCCAAAAAAACACAAATTAAAAAAGAGGAAGAACAAAAAACACAAACAAACAGCGTTTGGGGAGGAGTCCTGCGGTGCGTGCCACATTTTGAGCCAACTGCATTCGCTTCCGCAGGTTGCTGGACTTGGCCAGAGACTGCAGCCAGCGGCGCCTTCGAGTCTCCCTCTTGGCCCTGGGGCCCGGATCGCGATCCGGGATCGAGCCAGGGCGACCTGGAGTCTCCTCCTGCCTTCCGACCCGAAAAGGGGTCCTTCTGACCAACTTGGAATCATTTTGGCGAACCCGCTTTGAAAGGGTAGGGAGACTCCTATGGCGAACCCACTTTTTTTAGGGTAAGGAGACTCCTACCATCGAAGACCCCAAATCGGATCCGCTGGAATGGGCGACCGGATTGAAAAACGCTCACAACAAACCACCGTAAAACCCGGGGGTTCAAGGATTCTTAGTCCTGGAATTTGGAAACATAGGGCGCTCGAATCAAAAACCAGCTCACAGAAAACCACCGTATTCCTCAAGGTTCCAAGGATTCTTTAATCCTGGAGTTTGGAAGCAAGTTACGGCTGTGACCGAGGAGCTCACCGTACACCACCTGTACTTGGGAAAACTCATTCATAATTCTGGCTTGGAATTATTTGTTGACTGTGCAAATGCTAGCGTTTGGACCCCTGTTTGGCCAATAGGACGGCAAATGGAGAATTCTATCACGTTGAGTGGTTTGATATTTTTCGGGGCTGAAGGGTGCCAGGATACAAGAGGGGTGTGTATGGGCGGCTGGGGTGAACTAGCCTATGTGCCTGGCAACCTTGATACCTTGATTTGTTGAACCAACTGCAGCAAGCTAATCGATAGCCAAGCTGTGTTGTGGAATGATAACCTATGGGACAATGCAAGAAGCTCCTCGGCCATCTTCGGATGGCATGGCTGGCGAAGGAGCAGTACTGGTGCACGCGCCAGGAAAGCCACAGGACTCCGACCTGCTCACCTTCATCATTGATGGATTCGACAAATCGAAAATGCTGCTTCCAAGGTGGTCGCGGGGCCGCATGCCGAAAGGCACCACCTTTGAGCGGCATCGCAGGCATGTAAATGTAACAGCATGCCTTGCGCACATGGCATGGTATAGCCGGATCATGGACCTGGGAGTGCGTGATGCACTCGCTCGAGCACGTCTTCATGGTGGCAGCGCGGGCGAAGTTTCCCTCGATCTTTTTGGCTTCAAGCTGACAGGTACTGGCAAGAGCGTTGGTGATCTATATGTTAGTTTTAGACTTTTGGGCTGGCAGAAAGGCGGGTCTTCCATGAGGGACAAAAGCGGTCATCAGGGCGTTGTCCTGCCAACCTTGCGGGTGCGTTCGACGTGTTGGCAAGAAGCTAAGTTTTAAAATGTGTTAAATCACAGGGGATGAATTCATCACATGAACTCTGCCTATTTCATGTCTAGCAAACCCGAGGGTAAAAAGTGTTCACCACGATGCCGGCCCTTCACTTGGAAATCCCTTATATCAGGTGCTGGAATTCTGCAGAAACTCAAGATGAGATCGTTCATGCTAGGGGTACATGGCCAGGGGCCAGGGGCCCCATGTTGGGCCTTGAGTTTCACATCGAGCAGATCGCGGACGGGTCCCGCAAACCAACCCCCCAAAAGTCTCCCCGATGTTTGCTTTGTGCAAAGAGACCGCCATAGTCATGACTGGCAAACACCATGCCATCAGTGATCCTCACTTTTGGATGCGCATCGTACTCCTCCCAATCCATTTTTTTTTGTTCTCTCGGGTAACCCTGAGAAGATCACTCTGCAACTTTCCTGAGAAGACCCGTGAATCCCCTTGTTTGAGTTGTGAACATAGCTCCAGGTGGTGACCCAGCTGTCCGCCTTGTCTGGCCTGCCCGGGGAGGCGAAGAACCGGGAACCGGGGACCGGAAGAAGATTGATCCGGGAGGGGCGGGAACCCCTTTGACTTTTTGCTTCTCTGGATGTGGATTTCAATGGGGGGATCCCCCTGACAAGTGGTCGGTGGACATAAATCCCCACCTAAATGATGTCCACCAAGCGTCCCCACTTAAAACTCATGCACATCTCAACCGACCCCCCGATTTCGCTCGAGTTCCCGGGCTTGAAGCTTTTCATCAGCAACTGACATGCCAATCTGTGAGACCCTCAGAACATGTTTCCTCTGGGGTCAAAAGGTCGGCGGCATTCCCTTTGTCCAAGCTCCCGAACTGGGGTCCAAAAGAGTAATCTCCCTCTTGAATGTGTCGCATGCTCCTGTGTTCGGGTGTGAGACGCTCCTTAGGGAGAAGAAAACAACCAAAAGAGTAATCTCACGATGGTGGCTTAGCTAGGTGCTTGGGAACCCCCAAGACCCAGACCCGTGAACCCTGCAGGAAACCCTTGTAGCTTGGGTTGCCAACGACTTAGCTCACGGCACATCTCTGGCAGCAATCCCAGAAACATGTGGAGGGGCCACACCCTGCTTTCACACTGCCCCACTTCTTGGAACCGCCCATCTTCTTATTCGCCTCAGCGGTGTTGTGCACTTTAGGCCGTAGCCAGGGATACAAGTGGTTGACAGGGGTTGGTTGGCAGGATTCATCAAAACTCACTCCCAGGCCACCTCACACCAGGATTTCCAATTTTCCCAAAGGTGAGATTTCTTTATTGATGGTTTTTGTGGCTCGGACAGGGGCTCTGTTTGGAACGTGTTCCAACGAACGGGTTTCGATCGCTTGTGCCAAAGGACAATCATGTGTGTAGCATCCGAAAGGATTCCATTGTTGCAACATGTTGCAACTTTGTCAACAACCTTGGTACTGCATTGCAAGTTTCGGGCTATCTTTCACGACCCGGGAAGTGAGTTACGACTCCAAATTCAAGCCCCTTGGTCTCTTGAAGCCCAGAAACAGTTGTCCCATGATTTCCACTGCATTTTATGGTCGGCGGACGGAAAGGGGCGTTTGCTAACCAAATTGGAAGCCAAAACAAAACACACCGTTGGATATCCTTCCACAGTGGTTTTCTATGTCCATGAGCCACCCTTATGTTTGCTCAGGGTAGGCGCTGTCAGCCCCCTCCCTCCCACCTGTCAAAAAGGGCCTAAATCGAAATGGCTGGTTCACCCCAGTGCTTCCAGTTACCACCTCTGGTAAGTATTTGCTGGGTATTTTTACCTCTATCCCAGTGGATCCATTTACTTGTAGAGTAGCTAAGTAGGGGGAAAAAAGGAGCCAGCCTTTACAAAAGCCAACGCAAGAAAATGGCATATGGCCTTTCCTGGGATCGATCGATACGGCTTCAAGTTTGTTTACCGAACCTCGAAGGCACTGGGTGCGTTCGAGCGGGGCGCGTTGGGGCCAAGGGCCGGCGCTGCAACTCCGCGGCGCTCTGGGGGTTGGCGAGATCCTTGCGCCTTGAGGCGCCCTGGGCTTGGGGCCTCAGCGATTCCGGCAGTCCTTCTGAGCGGTGGTTCCACTCGCGTCTTTTTTTAAGTTGGTACCCGTTGGTTGGTGAATCTAAAGGGAACGCCCAAAGAGAAAAACGAACAAACAAAAACAAAAAGGGCGCGTCTTTGTATGAATTTAAAGCGACACCGCAAGAGACATGCAAGAAACAAGCGCCGTCAATTCACCTTGTTTGGTACATTTTAACGAAAAGTCACGATTGTATTTCTGGGTCCTCTGAGCTGATGCTGACACCTGATTAATACCCCCGGTCAAGCAAGTTAGGCAGGACACCAAAAGGGGGGCCTTTTGCCAACCCCACCAACTGTTTGCCAAGCAACATCCCTTAACCCAACCTTTTTCAGAGACACCCGGGTTTGAGTGTTTGGGGTGAGTTAGAGATCACCTGTTGCTTGGCATTTCATGAGTTGGCATCGAAGGTGATGTTTCAGGAGGTAATAAAAGGAGCTCTGCACGTCCTTCTCACAAGAGGCTGGAAAGAGAAGAGCTTCCAGGTACTTAGGCCCAGACCGGTCTGTCGCAGTGGCAGTGGGTCTGTCTGAGGTGTATTGGCGCATGTCGCGTGGCACCTCGCAAGGGAGGCTTGCAACCTGCTTCATGGTGAAGGTTGCTTTAACATAGGCCTCCCGATGGGTGAATGAAGTATTCAGACTGGCCTTCTGCCATGTCAATGGTTGAGCTGGATGATGTTGAGCGGGAATCATGGAGTTGCCACATTTTACAACCTAGTAAGGGAATTGTGCTGGGGGTCTATGTGTGTGGGGGGGGGGCATCCATGGCTTGGTAGTTCGCTTTAAGGTCTTATTGATCGCTTGTCCTAGACTCATCTTAGGCTTATCCTTGGAGTAACCCCGTGATTAGACTGTTGGCTCGGGGAGAGGAAGGAATTCCAGATGAGGAGGTCCATGTCCGATTTCCGAATGCTTCATGAGTTTGGGCAATCTGTCTTGGCTGTTGTTTGCTCAGATGTGAACCAACTGTTTGCAGAAACCAGCACAAGGGGTGCTGTTTTTTTGTCCAGAAGGCAACCATTACGATGTGAGGATCGACCAAACCCCCTTATGTTTTTGTTTTTTCTTTTTTGTGGGGGCTGAATACGAAAGCATATTCGGTGTTGCGGCGCTGTGGCAGCGGAAGACCGCGGAAGGGCGAGCGATAAGTTTCGCAGAAGGGTGTGTATCATCATGGGATAAAGCCCCACTCGTGCAACAAGTGTACTGAAAAGTTGTGATGCTTCAATTGGGGCGGCTCGTGTACTCTACCAGTACTTGAAAGCTGCGATGCTTAAGCTGAGCTGTGCAAGTGTTCTTCGTGTATCGCTCTTGTTCTCAGCTGAGAACGATAAACGAAACGATACATGCGCCACTCCGAACCGATGCCGCTCGCTCTGCCGAGGTGTGCTCCACATTCCCGCAGCAGACATGGTAGAAAAGCGCAAAAAAAACAGGTTATTCTACCTGCTCCAGGTTTTGCCTCTTAGGTTGTGTGTTTTCCCTGGTTGCCTACCATGGCAGGAGGCAAAACTTTGAGTTTGCTCAGGTCTCCGTGCGGCTTTTGGACCTGGAAGGCGCCATTCGATTGGGCGGATGGAAGGAAGAAACAGAAGCTGGGCGCAGAGTGACCCACAAGTCACAGGCTGAGCGTATGAGTCAATATGGGTATGGGTCAAAATTAAACCACCCGGGGACCAGGTTTTGGTTTATGTTTCCACTTACCAGGGTTCCATTTGGTACATATTTTTGACCCACAGCCTAATATGTGAACTTTTGGCATGAAGCCGGAGTTGTTTAAAAATCATTTGCTTTTACTTCCGGCTCCATCATGAAAAGTCAGCCTCCAAAGTTACAATGGGGGGTGGGGCCTTATCAAGGTTTGCGGGTTGGTATTGTGGGCAATAAAGGCCTCCTTTTCAAGCAGTCGACTTGCCACACTTTGGGCGCTTACGGCGCAGACGTTGACTTTTCCCATGCAAAAGACGGCCACGCCCCGACGATCGCATCCATGGTGGCACCGACCGTGGAATGGGCCTCGGCGGCCACACCAGCCTGGAGGACATGACGGGGGAGGACGACTACCTGCCGAATTTTCCGGTGGGCGGGTGTTGCCGCTGAAATCCTTCCATCGGGACATCAGGCTGGCCGGCGAACGGGAGCCGAAAATAAAACAATGTTATTAGTTACTGCTACGGCCGCGATCAGGTGATGCCGCTGGTGTCACACTGGGTGTTTGTGCCTTGGACCATGAACTGGCATTTAGCCTTACGACTTGCTGGAAGCCAAAATGAAGCACACCGTGGGTTTTACGTGTGTCCAAACTGTAAGACATCCTACCTCCGGACATGTGTTTCAGGGTGCATAGGTGGAGGCGGCACTCAAATGTGCCTGAAGGAGAAAAGAGTGGCGTTTCTGCTGCGCCTTTTGTTTTCCAAGCGTTCCTAGTTTCGTTGCGTGACATCTGCAGCTCCTTTGCCTGTATTCTCCTTTTTGGGGACAAATTGCGAGCAGCCGTGTCAGTCCAAAAATATTGGGAAAGTTGATGGTTTGATGATGAACTATGCTGTTTGCTCCATGGCTCAATTGTTGAGCTTTGCGATGGATGTGGTTCGCTTTGTTCAGACCAACAACAAGTAATGCACTCAGGTTTGCGCCTACTTGAGCGTAGAGCCCATCCTGTGGACTTTGTGGAGGGTGTTTCAATCCACAAAGCGGGTGTGTCCTTTTTTAGGGGATCCCCGCGTTTAGTTTTCCTTTAAAGCCAACAAAGCAAGTACACACCCAAGATTTGAATATGATTAATTGATCCTAGATTGCTAGAAACGGTCCTTTGAGCGCGTATTTTGGCAAGGCACCTTGCGACAATCTCTAGTCAAACCATAGTTTAGCGCAATTCTGATTACGGTTCCACCCCTGTCACTTCAAAAGAATATTTTCCCGGCAATCACAGAAATCTGTTGCCAAGCCCTTCTTGTTCTGCAAGAATGACTTTTCACCCTATTGTGCAGCACCACTTACTCAACAAAAAGCAACAGGTCAAGGATGGCGGTGGCAACTAGGTGTCCCCTTCCCTTTTCTCGTGCTTTTCTGTTTTGGAGGCCCTAGTCAGCTGGGCAACATCTCGCTGGGCGAGCTTGGCGAGGCAGACGGTGCCTGAGGGAGGTGCCATGCTTGTGAACATTGGGTGCAATGTGAGGGAAACATGATTGGTTCGTCTCGAAATGTTCCTGTCTCAAAACAGATTGACCCCAGTGTTGGATAGGTCTTTAAAAATAGTGGAAATCAGGGACTTGATCTCGCAACAATCCCAAACTGCATTTGGGGGGGGGGTTCTTTTTCTATCACTTCCGTGGGTGCACAAAATCACTTCGAACCAGTTGGAATGGATCTCGTATATATCAAATACTCGGTGCCAAACACCCATCCACCTGTTGCCTAGCGCTTGTCCTTTACCACCGCTGTTGGAACGCAGTCGTTTTGAGAGAAAGAGAGAGAGAGAGAGAGACACAGAACCACATGGAGTTGCACAGAGCCGCTTCTGGGGTGCCGCGGCGAATCGAAACCGCTGGAAACAGCATGAAGCAGCCAGTTGCCCGTGAAAGAAGGGATTTGCGATTCGGGCTATCGAGGCCACTTGTGAGTTGGGAGAGATTAGGGTATCTACTTGCCCCCCTTCCCCCAACAAAACTTCCAACAGGTGCGTCACAGATGTCATGGACCCTTGCATAGGGGTCTAGACCAGAATGATAAGGATTTCTGGTACTTGTAAGGGAGCCACGGCCATGACCCGCAGAAGGAGCTTGGACCACGGCAGACATGGTGTCATTTTTTTGCAAGCGTTCCTCTCTTTTTTGTTGGGGGGGGAGGTGGACACTTAGGGTCGACTTTGCAATCTCCTCCTTTTAGGGTATTGGTTCTTTAGGGTATGGTTGCAAAAAAACTCTAGGTGTCCATGGCGGGGGGGGGGGGAAGGTGTGGTGATTTTGGCAGACCCCTGACGCCCGCGCCAAAAGAACCCGCAGGGCGAGCTGGAGTTCGGGCACTTGGACGCGCACTTCCGAGTGCCCGGACACTGGCTTTGCTCGGCCAGGCTTGCCAGAACGAGAATAAAAGATTGCACTAGAGAAGTTGAACTAGATTCTAGGGCTTTGGCTCAATTACTAGAGGGGGTTGGCTGGTGTAGGAGTTAGCCAAACCTTGAATCAAAAACCATCAGTGTGTCCTTCTCCCCGTCCATCCCGATATGCAGCAATTCCTGCCCGCTGCTTAGCGATTACTTGCAAGCTGTTTGAGCCCTCAAGTTGATTCGAGATTGAAGGCCCATATTATAATATGCAGTTTGACTTGTCCCCAAAGGAAGCCAAGAGGGGAATGGATATTTGCTTAGTATGCCCAAAACCACCGACCTGACAAACACCCTGATTGCCAAGTCGGCCACATGAAAAGCCACATGTACCAGCTCACGGGCTTGTACCAAATGATTTGTGAGGTGTATCCAGCAGCGCCTGCAAGTGATACCAAGTGGTACCTTTGGCTGGCCTTGGTTCCCTTTTTGGTTCCCCAATAGGACTGCACCTGACTCCTGATGGCCGTTTGCAGCCACCTAGCAAATCTGGGTACTGGTGGTCTTTGATAATACGTTGGCTTGTACATTCAAAGGGAACCCAAAGGGAGTTTCCATTCCATCCCCAGCTTTGAGAAAAAAAAGCAACGCGGAGCTGGGCACTGCCAAGCCCGCAAGGCTGGCGCAGGCTTTGGCGGGTGGAGTTGTGGTCACTCCCACTGATTGAAGCTCCGAGAAGGATGTCCA